CCTTAACTTCTCCAATCGAGGCACCGCTTCAGGTCACGTGGCTCTTGACTCCTCCAATCGAGGCCCACTTCTGGTCACGTGGCCTCAACTCCTCCAAGCGAGTCTCATTTCCGGTCACGTGCCCTTAGCTCGTCCAATCGAGGCACTGCTTTTGGCCACGTGTCCTTAACTCGTCCAATCGGGCACCACTTCCGGTCTAATGCCCTTAGCTCATCCAATCGAGGCCCTCTCCCGGTCACGTGCCCTTAGCGCGTCCAATTGGGGCACCCGGTGCCTCTCCAGCACTGCAGCTGGCGCGACCCACAGAGACATTTAACTATCTACACTTACAGTAGTGGCTGTCGTCACGACACTACAAAAGTAACAATATCCCCTGTTGTGCAGTACATATATGGCCCCACGTATGCACTCCCCACCCACCCTCACCCCACCCACACTCACCAAGGTGAGGCGTGTTCTAGTACCCCCACGTCTACACTCCTCACCCTACTCACACTCACCAAGATGAGGCGTGCTCTCGTACCCCCCACGTCTACACCCCTCACCCCACTTGAATAACTGCTATTATTTTCGATAAATGTTGCTTAGGAAACCGCATTACCAGCGTGGTGAGGTATGGTCGAATAACTCCACTAATCGCACAGCATGGGAAGGCCCTCATCCAGAAGTGGACAGTTAAAAGGGCTTGAACACAGTAGACGGGGCAAGTCCGGGCCTTTGCCCAGTAACATCTGTGAGTGTTGTTTCAAAGGACATTGTCTGCAGTGATTGAGGACCTGCTGAGGCATTTAAACCAGCGGCAAGGTTCACATCACACAGTTCCCATGTCCAGTCGTCTGATTGATTTCCATTTCTATTGCCGTGCTCGTTGCCAATCCCTGCTGCCGGCTCCCATACCGGAGCCCTCATCCCACAATGCCGGGACATCTCTTGGGATCATGATGTGGACGACGCGTTCAGCTGTTGATGTCAACAGACAGGTGGCAGAGTGGCCCTTCGCAGCCGCATGACTGACGGCTTGCGAGATTACCACTGCTGCCCTGACTCATGATGCGTGTACAATTATTTATCCATAATACACGAACGCGTACAGCAGGAGACAGGGGACAGCACTACCGACAGGAGTACAACACCCACGTCGTGCTGTGTGGGACTCACCAAGCTCAAGGATTGTATCAAGATGCACCATCAGCCATGACCTATCCCCTGCAACATGCACACCTCCCCAATCCGTCACCATAAATCATGGTCTTGTGATGCCACAGTCTATACAGGTCCCGCACATGACCCAATTCATTGTTCTGTGGCCACGGTTGACATCTTCTCAGGCGTCATTAAGCTGCCATGCCATCATTAGTCTCGTCCACTGGCCATAATCCCCTCCAGTAACGTGTCCTGCACAAGTCCACTTCTCTTAAGTCAATGGCTTTCTCTAATTGCCCAATATGCTCTAATACTAAGTGTGCCTCTTTATAGCTCTGATGAGATTGATCTGTTCTCTCCTCTTGGTGGTCGCGTGGAATGTCCTCCTGGTCCGCCGATTTTACCCTCCGTATTTAGAAACACGCATGTACATTATGTAGAAACACGTGTACATTATAGAGAAACACGTATGTACAGTATGTAGAAATACGTGTACATTATGTAGAAACACGCATGTAGATTCAGTAGAAACACGTGACATAGAAACACTCATGCACATTAAAAAGAAACACGTGTATATTATGTACAAACACACGTGTACATTATGCAGAGACAAACGTATACATTATTTAAAAACACACGTGTTCATTGTTTAAAATATACGGGTATAAATTATTTGGAAACATGTACATTATGTAGAAACACACGGGTACATTGTCGAAACACGCGTGTACATTATGTAGAAACACGTGTACATTGTCGAAACACGCGTGTACATTATGTAGAAACACACGTGTACATTATTTAGAATATACGGGTATACATTATTTGCAAACATGTACATTATGTAGAAACACTCGTGTACATTGTCGAAACACGCGTTTACATTATGTAGAACCACACGTGTACATTATGTAGAAACACGCATGTACATTATTTTGAAACGTGTGTACATTATTTTGAAACACGTGTACATTATTTGGCAGCTATAGATTGCTATAAAAGGGTTTTAAACCACTTCGATGAGCTATCATGTGTAAGGCGGTCGCCTCTAACACGTTCCTTCGGAGTGGGCAGGTAGGAACTTGGTTGGACAGCGCATTCGTGCACGACAGACAAATATGCACGACAGACAGACAAATAATCCCTGGTGGGCAGTGTGGAACCTGATGTTCCTACCTATATAAACAAGCTCCTAGCTCAGTTTAAATTACCTGTTGAATAATATAGATGAGTTGAGTCTCCTTCATAACCCACACTGACTAGGAATGAAGTATAGTCAAAATCCCAATGACAACATGGCATATGGGAGGCCTTCATCAAGCAGTGAATTGTATAACACGCGTGGAACACGACTGTGGCTTCTTCCTCACAAACTACACAATTTAGCATGACACCACAGAAGGCATCTCCAGTCCATGTTGATCATGGGGGTTGTTTGACTATACTGTACTTCACCTCGCTGGTCAACGTGGGTGGTTTAAGGAATGATGGAGGGCAGACCAGGGTTAGATATTACTCGCTATGGCTACGCACCTGTACACAGGTACATGAGGAAGATCATAAAGCTACAGTGTGTTTGTACTCACACACACACACCTGTATGCAGGTAGATAAGGGAGATCATGCAGCTTCACTGTGTATCTGTACCCACACATCTGTACATAGGTACACAATGTCCCGTTGTGACTCATCGCCAATGTTGATTCACAGAAAGGGCGTCCGAGATTGAGCAGCATCACTTCCTCACGGTGCTACAACTCTACATTGCCGATCAAACGCGTCGGAGCGTGAGGAAGTTCACGCGCGGTGCTACTGCAGGGGTAATGGCACCGCTAGGTAGGAGACGGTGCCGCAGTCCTAGCGGCTGTGTGAGCTGGGGGCCGCTCCCTCGCGCTGGGGCTGCTGCTGGCGCTGGGTGAGGGGAGGGGTCAAGCAGCGGGACCCCAACCTGGCGGAGATTTCAGTGCAGAGCTCGAGGAGATTGTTGAGGCCGCTGGCTCCCGAGGTCTCTCCCTGCTGCGCGCCGACTGCAGGGGTCCCGCTGTTTCCCGACCCTTCGCTGTTATGCGAACAGCTGCTGCTGCCGCTGGGCTCATCGCTCGCGGAGTAAGGGCTGTCGCCCGACGGTTCCCCTCCCTGGGTCGCACCTCCGCGGGTTCACGAGAGAGGCATGGCTCGTCGCCGGCTCCCATACGCCTGTAAACACTGCGTTGCCTCTCCGCCAATCAAACGCGACGCCTCCCCTCACACAGCCCCGTGCAGCAATCACACGCTCTGAACGGGGGGTCAGCGGTCGGAGGGCGAATGACGTTGCTCGCACGCGCGGCCGCCGCGAGCGGGTGATAACGCTCGTTTAAAGGGGCCGTGGAACAGGTATTTACGGTGGATGTGAGCCCTCACACAGCACAAGTCTCCACGGTGACAGAACGGAGCGTACAACCTTGGAAACACCGAAAACCCCCATTACGAGCGCACACACACACACACACAGCACCACGCGCTTTCACCCGCTCGTCCAAACCACACGAGGCTGCGGTGGGTTATTAATGATTTATTCTCGGCCGACTGGGATTCACTGTTGGGTCAGTAGAGATCGGCAAGGCAGGCCTATACTATCGCCCAAGGGTCTGTACCCGATTTATCTAATTTGATAGGCTCTCACAGCAGGTTTGGTTTTTCTAGCCTCAATCCCAATACTCTTTTACCTCTTACTCATGGTTAGATGCGCACGGCGCTCCGTTGGTCTCGTCCTCGCCGCTCACCTCGACGCGTCACACGGACGTTTGAGTGGCCGAGCTGGAGACCGTCCCGAGGGCTGACTTTTGGAGCAAGAGAACACTTTACCCCTCTGTGCCCTCCCTTTATCCTTAACCTACATCAAAGAACTTCGACCCGAGGACCCTCTCGGCCAATCAGGTCGCCGCGTCCGTTCAGCCGCATTCCCAGTTTCCCTAACAATGGGTCCCCCGCCGATTGCGGCGCCGGCGGTGGTCCACGGGCACCTTTGCTATGCTAATCGAATGCGGTTTCCGTAACACAGGCTCGCCGCGGTCTGCTGCACGGCGGCGGTCGCCGCGCACACCTGCCACGCCAATCAGCCACCCCCCTTGGCTTCCCCTTCGTTCGTGGCTGTGGACCCCTGCCTGCCTTGCCGATACGTGTGTGTGGGGGTGCGTTTCAACCGTGGTGGCTGGACAGCCCTCCGCCGTGACCATACAATCTCAACCCAGGTCACAGCGCCGCGGTGCGAATTAGCATCGGGGGAGGTCACCCAATTCCCTGGCCGCAGGAAACCGTGAAGATTATCCCTTCGAGGGCTTTCGGGTGAAAACCTGCCGGCCAGGTGACCTCCCCTCGGAGCTCTATGGGGGGGGGAAATGTGTGAGGGTGTGTTTATGTGGGGGGCGGTGAGGGGTAAGCGGGGTCGGCCCTGTCGCTTGGTGGTGGCGAGGTCGTAGATGGGGCGCCCGCCGAGCGGCTTCGCGGCGGCGGCATCACACACTCTCGCTGCATGGCTTACAAGCACCCGGCAGCTGTAGCACATGCTGTGAGCTCACGCTGCAATGTGGCATTAATTGTTGTTCAGTAACTCCTAAAATGAAATATACACGGATTTTGGAGTTTTTCGCCAGGTGACTAAACATGACTAACATCCGTTAAATTTTCACGGATTTTTGGAGTTGTGCTGGAAACTCAAAAAAATTGTATAGGTTTGGGAACCGTATAAGTTATTCCCACAGTACGCCACAGATTCTAGGATGGGCGAAACCCGTCCACCATATCACCACAGATTAATCATGTTTTATTGTATTTGCATACACATTGAATGGACATTTACATGTAACATCTGCATGTGTCATAATATATTGGAATATCTATTACATAAGTGGCTTCATTCAAATGAAAGCACAATCACGCGGTGGTGATGTTATTTCCCTCGGCCTGGTATGCAGGAGCACATGGATTCGATCCTGATCCTGACAGAAATTGTATGTTGTCCCTGCGGTCATGTGGATAATTATATGAGGACTACGGTATGGCCCTTCATATTTAGAAACGTGCATTGAGATTGTGGCTGCTACGATGCGTGGCTAGATCAACTCTGAAAAGAAGGCAATAGCTCCGCGGGCTTTACCTGGTAAATACAAGTTTAGTTTAAAAACTGAGAGAATTGTGCAAATAAAGCTACATAGCAATGCTTAAGTAATTAATATTAAGCAATGGCTGTTAAGTGATTAATATTAACTAGCCTTTTGCCCGTCAAAGGACGGGTGTATTGCAGTAAATCTGGAACTTGCAAGTGAAAAGCAGACCGCGACGTGATATTCATTCCATAAATTCGTGTGTATTTTGTACGGCCGCGGTGACACAGAATTATTTCATTTAAAGGTTATAAATCCTTGTTCATCATGACGCCCTTTTACTTCTATGTCTCAACAGCGTTACGGAGATTGCGTGACGTGAGGGTTCTGCCTTTGGAGTGAGGGTTGTAAGTTAACGCTGAGGAGGGGGGAGGAGGTGCCTTGCCCCCCCATATGGAGAGACGTCACCCGCTAATTATTATTAATGGAGGGGTTGTGTCCATTTGGAGGACGTCACCTGTTCATGATTATTAATGAGGGGGGCTGTTCGATGTGGAGTGACGTTAACTGCTCATGATTATTAATGAGGGGGGCTGTTCGATGTGGAGTGACATTAACTGCTCATGATTATTAATGAGGGGGGCTGGTCCATGTGGAGTGACGTCACACGCGGGACACATTCTTGGCTCATTATAGGAGCAAATAGTTATTAAGCGTGGTCAACAAGAATTAGTTTCATTCACTCTGAGTATGCGTTCCTCCGATAACGCCATCTGTGCCCGTCCTTGAGGGTGCGCCGTGGTGCCTGCGTCGTGATGGTCTTGGCACTCGGCGGAGAATGTCTTTAAACACATGACGCCTTTTCCGAGCTGAAAAACGGAGATGTACTTGTTGTTAATGAATCACAGCACATCCAGACGTGTCGTGCATTTGAAGACTGGTTGGAGACAATGGTGTGCACTCGAATGTGTGTTGTGAGCAGGAAGTATCAGCCAAAATGTTTACATTTTATTTCCACTGCATAACTTCAAAATGCTATTATAATAAAAATGATGGCAGTTTTGTTTTGCAGCAAATAACTACAATGTCCTCCATGCACATAGGAAAAGCTGAGTATTAAGACGTTTTTAGAAAAGTCCTGCATTTTGATGTTTAGCCAATTCTGTTAATGGCTGTTTAACATTTGAGAAGAAACCAGAATACCTGCAGATAACCCATACATACAGGGAAGTAATGCCTAAAGCTCTGCACAGATGGATTTAACTGTCTATTGATGTACTGCTATCTCCTAATCACCTTACAACCCAAGTCTACATCATCTGGCATATTTCCAGGTAGTCTCCCACCAGAATACTAACCAGGCTCAAGCCTGTTAAACGTCCGAGATCCGATGAGATTGGGTGCATTGAGGGTGACTTGATCGTAGACATTTAAATCAGATACGGCTGTTACTGCACATGCATGACTTGAAGAGCCTCTGCCACATCACACAGCAGCATTACTGCACGCGGCGTAGGTCAAGGATGCAATGTCGGTGCGGTAAATGCACGCTTAATAATTTGTGAAACGCACAATGTATGACTGCACCACGCTTGCACACCCATGGGAAAGAAAACAGTTACATATATCTACAACGCAGCAATAACTTTACAGCATAGCCTATACCGTGTTACGTATTTCCACTGCTCTCAATAGGTAATGTGGGCATGCTCTCCAATGGGCACAGCTATCGCTAGCCATGCCTGTCTTGGAAATGGGGTTATACGGTCGCTCATATTCCTTTAGATTGGTGGTTGTCAAACTGTTGTACAGCATGAGTAATATGAGCTATGCACAATTATGCCAATGCTGTGAAAGTCATTATGAAGTACAAGCCATTAAAAAACTTAACCATTTGTTGGAATGAAACATAGAATTCCAGTTATTAAAATACATAATTGGGATGAAATGTGTTAATTTTACAAATTTGAAATTACACAAATGATCCCTTGCACTAGGAAGCTCAGCTGTACACCCTGTAATCATGACTGATAACTCATTGCCAGAACACAGCAGGGCAGCCCTCATGCCAGCACCTCTGTTGAGAGTGCACTGCTGGTGTCAGCACGGTGCCTTGATGTATCTCATGCTTTGTTGTTCTGTGGGTGAGCGGGTTGCTGCTGCTGCTATAAGCGTACACGGTCACTAGAAGATGTCTACCACCGTTCTGGTGAAGTCTGAAACTCAAAAATGGTCACGCTTTGCACAAGCTGTTCGGGATAATCTGTTCTGAGCTGGCTTGGAAGGTATGCATTGTTTTAGCTCTGGTGTCATTCAGTAAAATATATCAGGATATATTTATAATAAACACCATTTTTTTTAAACTAGATATGTTTTGCCAACCTACATGTGGCCAGTGGCAGCAAAAATGTATGCTGGAGCCATGGCAGGTACCCCCCACAATGAGGCACTGCCCCTGTGAAAGAGCTGCCCCTTTATTAGGGTTCCTGTCCGGTAACCCGTTAAAAAGTCCCCAACAATAACTTATTCGAAATACGCACTTACGTCTTTCAATATCGTCATTATCAGCCACGATCAATCCACTGCTGGATGAAGACCTCCCTACGCCATTTATATATCACATTCCATCAATAAAACATTCACTTAACATCCACGCATGCTGATTTCATGTTCACTCCTGATAGCAATGAGACTGTGTATTTGAGGAGATAGCATGTTTGCAAAAAATAGTCCCTTTTGGTCAACCTGGATCAGTGGCTTTTGTCATACAGTTTTCTGGGCTAAACGTATTTGGAACATGCATTGCCATGTCATTCATACTAAGGATAGTTTTTTGGTAGATCTTTTGGACATTAAATACATAAAAATCTGCTCAAATGCATTTAGCTTAGACAAAATAGATAAGCAAACAGTACGCTTCATATCCGTCTCTCTACTTAAACAAAGTCTTACACAACACATAAGCCACGTGACATTCTGGGAGTACAGCACTGATTAAGTTAAAGCAAACGCTGAACTTGGTTTGACATAGTGTCTCGTCTATAAAGTGAGACTTGCTTCAATCAGTGCTTGTGAACTGCTACATTTTATAGGTAATAAACCCCTCTTTAAGAAATTGATCCTATAGTTTGACACAATCATTTGCAGTGTGAAGAATACAAAGATAAAACTAGATGAAAAAAAGTATTTTTTAAGTGGAAACAGATATATGAAGGAAACATTATCTGCTCATCTATTTTCTACTTATATTATCCGCAACGATGTGAATGATTATGCTTGGAATAACACTGACACAGGAACACGTGGATCAGAGAACAAATACAAATTATAGACACTGGACGAGACTGGTGACAGAACAGCAGCCAAAGGAGATAACCTTGCTGAGAGTATTGAGTGGTATCAGGTCATATGCAGGAGCGTGGAAGATTGTGGCATCACAGGACCATGTGGGATGGTGACGGCGTGGAGAGTTATTCATCCAGCAGTGTAGAGATTATGGCTCTTGATGAAGGTGGTAATCTAATTATTAGGCCTCCCCACGCCATTGCCATTGGGAAGCAGCCTGTTTGGTGAAGTCCGATGACACCAGTGGGTCCGGCGCATGGCTGCTGGGCTGTGTTCTTGTCACTGAGCCAGTTCACAGAGTCATGCAGCTACATTATCAGAGCCGACTGAAGAATGATCTAAGTATAGACTACATCATATCATCAAGAATATTTTCTGGAGGTGGCATAGCTCTAATCACTTGCAACAACCTGATACCTAATTAACAATTGTTATCCAATTTCCCTTAGACAACATAGAGGCTGTTGGTACTGTGTTCCGTAACTGCAATAAAAATGGCTTAAAGGCTAGTGAACAGTGCAGCTAGAGCATGAAAAATACCTTTAATTTCTTCAGGTTCTGGAAACGTATCTTCATTTTCATGATGTGCTTGAACTGAAATGGCAAAACAAAATGAACTGAGTATTTCTCCCCGCCTGACATTATTTGTATTTTTACTGCTTTCTTCATGCATTTTTAAAGTAGCGAATTGTTAATAATAAATGGATTTGATAATTTCTATATATAGATGTATTACGGCCTTATTATGTAAATGCATAAAGTCAGTCACTGTAAATGAATATTTTGCATAATTAGAGTAAGGTAGGAACAGGAATTGGGAAGTATTGACCATCTCAGATTGGCTAATGACATGTGAGGTTCATTCCACTCAGTGTGTGCGGTGAAATAAGAGAAACGCAATGTGCTTTGTGCCAAGTCAAGGTTGGGTCCCTGGTACCCACCACCGCGTATCCTCTCCCCGACTGAAACGCAGGCGGTGCACTCCAAAGAGGGAGGCACCGTGGCCTCCTCCACGTCAGTATGGCAGCTCGCACAGACGAGCGTGCGCAATGCTCTTTTGCTCCCTACAACATCGCAGCCCTCGCACACCCTGCTTACTAGCAGCATTCATTGCCATCTTGGTGTTGCCTAAGGTAAACTTATCCTTGAAAGGAGCTCACCATAAGGACACAGAGGACATGAAAGCAATATGATGAGGCCACTGAGAGACTTGGGCTGGGAGCTGCCAGCACGGAGCCTGGAAGCTACGCGACGGCTGGAAGTGATGCCTGTGTAGTGACATAGAATGGGTCGCTACGGCGCATAGTGCTGGTTACTGACAGAGAGGAGAATTGTGGGTGTAGCAGAGCATGCAATGTCATGGAATGGGTCACTAGGGTGAGCAGCGCTGGTTGCTGGCAGAGAGGAACATCTGAGGGCGTAACAGCCCGGTCGGCCAACAGGACACGTGATAGGCCGAGGTAAGGGATGTAGGGCAAAGGTGTCAGAGGGGACACGTGGGGTATAGCCAATAACCTTCTGGTAGTTTCCAGAAGGGGGCGTGGCCGAGGGCGGAGCCAGGCCACGCTGGGGGGCATAAAAGGGAGGTCCCGAGGCGGGATTGAGGCTGTCGTTTGGAATGGAACCCGCCGTGCTACGTCTTCGTCTCCTCGGCGTCGTGGGTCAGGCGTCATGGGTCAGGCAGCGTGCCGGCTGTCCTGACCCATCTGTAGTTATACCGTGTATGAACATAAGTGTTTAAGTGTATAATAAAAGTATGTGCCTCCTATTATTAGGGTCTCCGAAATGACTCACTACACATGAGTGGGGGCGGAGACTGCTTTGAAGGAGACCCACATGAGCAACTCATGGCTCAACTAGTTTGAACAACAACCATATATTACGTGGCATTATGACTGCACTTCAGTCATGATAACCAATTAAAATAAATACAGGACATTGTTGAATACAAAGAGTGAAGGCTGTAAAGGTAAACATGCATAAAATCAGAGTCATATAAAACACGTTCACTCAAAAAAAGATAACTGTTGAAAAGGCAAGACTAAAAACTACAACCATGCATCTCTCGACTTTTTGCCAAGCAGTGCGCAGATGGTGATCTGGAAGTTAAATATCCCCTGACCTATGCCTAAATTGGCTAATATGGGAGCATGGTGGTGTGTATACATCCTTCCGGCAGAGATGACAACAGGCAGAACAAGTATCACTTACTCGATGTGAAAGTAAAATCCATCATCAGTGTATAAATGTCCATCATCACTTCCAAAAGTCCGTTTTCCACAGCATCACTTTGTAGGCACTTTTGCATTTCCTTGAACAGTTCTGAAAATGGGAATAGAGCGTGGTTATGCAAGGTGCTCTTGGTAAAGGATAAAATATCTAATTGCCATTATAACATTTTTGGGTTAGGCCACAATGATGTGACCAAATCTGTTATATGAACCGTCCATCACCAGATACTGCCAAATAAATTACTCATCACTTGTACAAGTGTTTAACACATAAATCATAATTGTTTCAACTCACCGATAAGTTGAAAAAAAATACTTCCAACCAAATTTAGCGATTCGATATGATATTTTATTTTAAACTATGTCCAACATCATCAAGACAAGATTCAGGAAGTAACACACCACTCCAGGGAGTTAAGAGTAACTGTGCCACCTCATCTGGTTTCTTCAATAAGTGTTATGGCTTGATTGGAAGCTTTCGTGACTGCAGGAATCCATACTCTATGGTTCTTTCGGTAAAATCACGTAGGTATAAAATAAAATAAATCACGACGTTTTGGGCGCAACATAAGCGTCCGTCATCAGGTGGGAAAGCATAGTCTGCTGCTGAGGAAGACTGTTTTAAAAGATTTGAATTGGGTGTAGCTCAAGGGTTATAAAGAAGTGGCTGTGGCTAGTGATGTTAATGTGAGAAATTAGCATGTAACTGTAAGACAGAAGAGCGGCCTCCTAAACAAGGGCACGGAAGTGGCTATGTTAATGTGAGGGATAAGCATGATCTTAAAGTGAGAAATTATGACTTCCTGGATTGTTATCTTGACTTCCTGCATCGTCAAGTTGATGTTTGAAGCAGTTTCAAATGAAACATTGTATCTAATTGCTAAATTTGGTAGTGAGGAGTGTTGGTCAATTCACCAGTGAGTTGTAACAATAATAATTGACACCTTAAAGCTTATACACGTGACAATGCAATTCCTTTGGCTGTGTTAGGAGGTGATGTGTCTTAACAACACACATTTCATAATATAGATTTTTGGGGCAGATCTCGTTATTTATAAATGTGTCATAACCCTCCACCACCCAACACATTTGTTCAGATCATTATATGGCCTAATTCAAAAATAGAGTATTAATCGTCGTGTTGCCTACACCAATTTAAGTATTAAGATAAAACATCTCGTTTAGTAATTCTACACTTGATATACTTACATTTAATGCAGATATTTGTAATAGTGTAAAACGTGAATTGTATATTGAATTCCCCTGAGGAAACGTCTAAGTGCTCGAAAGAGCTAAGCATTGCACTGGCGAGTTAAGTATAACAACACCAAATAGAAAGGGGTTAGGGTGATTAAACAACCAATGGGCATCCTGTACTAATTTACTTGAGCAGCTTAGTGAACTGGTTTTCAAGGCATGGCTGTCACATGATGCCAGAGGCATCAACAGATACACTGGGGCCTGACGTTTGGCTGCAATGAAATCTAGAAAAATATTGATAAACAAAAATAATTGTACAGAGGCTGGATGCATTCCTGGAATGGTTTGTGGATGGCTTTTCTGTAACAGTTAACTACCCATCAGTATGCTTGCTGTACGTGCCACGCCCTGCTGGAGAGACCCTTTTAAGTTGATTCCAGTCTAGGAGCTGTCTTTCTAAAACGTCTAATTTGACAAATTGGTAAATATGAGAAATATTGGTACACACCTGGTCCCCCTGCACGAAGAAAAGCCGCTTTGGCAAGAAGTCTCTTCTCCACTGAAAGGACGGCATTCAACTTGTTCCATATAGTTTGCAGGGCCTTTACCGTAGAATGGTCAAAGCTGTAAATAAATGCCACCCCACAATGTTATTACCACCATGATGATTCCAAATAGCTTATTCTGCCTGACACACATGACCATTCCCATTAACACATATGAACAATACATGTTGGTTTAAATCAATACTGTAAATGCCAAAGCGAATGAAAATGATTCATGTTAAATAGAATGTGTTGCAATTCCTCTCTTGGAGATGATTTGCGCATTAGCTCAAGTTTACATGAAACGACTGCTTTAGGCGTGCATTCTAAGAAGCATAGTCAATGACTAAATGAAGCAACAATTAAACTTGCACCTATTGATGCACACAGCGTGCTGCGGATTGCCACTCAGGCTCTCTCAGTTTAGAGCTGCAGGAGTCGTGTGCACCATGCACAGGATGTCGCCTGCCTACACTCACCTCTACAATCATGCTTTTGAGCGACTCTGAGCTTGGCTCCGCGCCTCTGAGTTGCGGCCAATACGTCTGCAAATTTGCGCGCGTTACAAATTGAACTATTATTATTATTATTACACACCTCCCATGGGCACACATCTAATGCTGCTTCCTTCAAAAGGAATAAGCGATCTCATTACTAGTTACAAAGTCTCAGTTGCATCCAAATTGGGAAGACGATGGAAGAATCTGAATTTGTGCTGACAAGCTCTAGATTTGGATCACTGAGCACATTTGTAAATTATGGATGGCATAAGTCACATGATTCCAACGGATAGTGATGCCCTGGGGTTCACCACAATGAAGCAAAAACTATTTTAGACCCATACAGCTGTTGTACATTTTTTCCGTGAGTCATGTGGGGTGTTCAATCTGTGTGTCTGCCTGATGCCAAGCCAGACCCTGCCGGCATCCCTCGATGTCTGTGACGAACCCTGAGGTGGTCGACTCCTCACCTGGCAAACGTCATCAGCGGAATTAAATCTGTGTAAATGTCTTCAATCTCTTTCTCTAGTTTTGCACCTGTGAAAAACGAAACACACACTGTCATGTTTAACCACCAGCACAGACGACAGAGTTCAATTATGAAGAAAATAACATCCCATGGAGTCATGTTATTTTATAAGAGAACTTATATATATTCCGTGCATAGTGACACATGCGACATCTTGATGATGTAGCTTTCAAGTGAAATAAGATAAATTGCTAATGTTGAGTTTCATCTAAAGTACACCATCATAAACAATAATATAACATCACAACATCAACACAAACAATGATTTGACATACCAAGAACCAATAATATCAACAATAATGAGGTATGAACATCAACAACAATATGATCATTGTTCATATCAAGATCAACAATATATAAACATCAACAATTACCTATCAACAACAATATTAATGTCAATATCATCAACACCACAATATATAATTCTTAGCACCAGCTATTCATCTATTTTGCACAATAATATCCACAATATAACCACAATCTTAATAACTGCAACTACAACCGCAATCATAATAGCCACATTCTAACTAAAACAACTTTAACAGTCGCGGTATAAGCACAACCATATCAACATCTGCATGACAACCACAAACAACATTCTAACAAAAGACAAAAACAAAGATTTCCCGTTTTAAGCCCACACAGACTGTTGGGGCAAGTGTAGTTAGCGAGCAGCTATGAAGGTCATGACGGCACACGAGGGAGTGAGATGACCAGCACCACGCCCTGCTACCTCTTTCTCCATAGTGGCCATGCTTACACATAGCACCAGGTACGTATTTGAGGCTGAGTCGACCTAGAAGAGGCCCAGGACTCATTTAAGATAATCATCATTGGTGTTTGATCATAAGTGGGAATCGAACTCAGGAAGTCAGGTTTAAAGCGCAGCATGCTTACCGCTACACTACTGCTCCCCGCACATTCGAATCGCAATCATAACCACAATCATAACCACAATCATAACCACAATCATAACCACAATCATAACCACAAGCATAACCACAATCATAACCACAAGCATAACCACAAGCATAACCACAATCATAACCACAAGCATAACCACAATCATAACCACACTCAAACCCACAATCATAACCGCAACATCACAACAGCCAGAATATAACCACAACTTAACCACGACAGGCACATTATAAACAGATCCACATTATATTCACAAAACCACAACATAACCACAATCAAAGCCATGACACATCCACATTATACCTACAACCATAACACATTAAAACCACAACCATAACTACCACATCATAACCACAATAGGCGCAAATCACAACCCAACATAACCAAACCATAACCCCATTATAACCACAACCACATTACAACCACATCCATAATAACATTATAACTGCAACCATAACCATTATCACGACAATAATCAATACATTATAATCACAACCACAAAAAATTAAACTTTTTTTTCTGTCTCAGCAAGTTAATTCAAAGTAAGATAGCAAAATTGTATATATTTCTTATGTATATTCACACAACTTACACAATTTCCAGGGAATGTCCTCGGCAAGAGATTTTTTTTCAGTTGTATGCCAGACAGATGGACGGATATATGCGAACAAAATTTATAAATCATAATTTTGGATATTTTTAGGTTCAAATATAAGTATGAGGTATGCAAATGCAGATGTGCAAGTCTTGTTGGTGAGGAAAATAAACTACATTACATAAACATAATTATGTAGTCGAGCATAGTTTGAAACAAGACCGATTGTTCTGTCAAAAATGACATTACCAGAACTCATGGTAACACGACTGGTGAGCTACCCTGTCGAATGAAGGCCGTGTTTGTGCAGATCCACTTAGCAGAGTACATAATGTGTAGACGTAGCACAGGTACTCACTAACGTCCACAGTGTAAGTCATCAGCATTTGGAACATGATCTCAGTGACGATTTGGAGAGGGATCTCAGAGTCATCTTGGGTGGGAGTGTCCTGGATCTTCTTGAGCAGCTCTAGGAAACACATGTGGCTCTTGTAAGGCGGTGAACACTGCAACATGCTCGTATTACAGGCGCACAGCAGCAACGATAACTGAATGCGTTTGTATGAACGAGTATAATATGCAGACGGTATTTAGAAATTAATCTCCGTGGAATGTGAATGTCAGGGTCATAATGTGATCCAATAATCGAACTGTCTAATTATTACAATCTTGTTTTATTTTCTTAGTTTTGCTTAACTTGTTGTATAAGTCGAAAGGCAGTTTAGTATATAATTTGCATGTCATTTACATATTAGGTTGAATACATTTTATGCATATTTTGCGAGCATGAGAAATAACATGTCCTCATGAACTGATGAAGTAATAGATCAAGCGATTTATGAAACGATAGATGAAGCAATAAATGAAGCGACAGCTGAAGTGAGAGCTGGGGGCGATATTCCTGAGAAACTCTTGAGGACGGTGCACGTCCCTGCAGAGCTGTCTCAGTAACGCTCACACAGAGGGGACGTTGTCTACACACCTGCACCTCCCTGCCGCAGGAAGGCCTCCTTAACGTCCACTTTCTCCTTTATGGTGTGCTCCACACTCAGCATGTTCAGAATGTATATCAATGGCTGGACGACAGTGAAGTCAAATCTGTAAAAAATAACACACGCACAATTGAAATATAAACGTAGAAAGTGATAAATACTGGCTCATAATTGAGGACCCCACTGCATTAGTCATTGGTGTATGAGTATTTTTTGCTTTGGGAGAGTCTACCAATTTCAGATCAGCTGGTATAGTTGTATATACAGTAAACCCTTAATGTTCGTGGGGATTCGTTTCTGGAGAATGGCACGAATACTAACTCCGTGAATATTAATACTTAAAGCTTATGAGGAAAACAGGGTTAAGGGCATAAACATATTACCTTTAAACATGAACATATAAACTACTAGCAGGAAGTACCCGGCGTTGCCCGGGGGAAAACTATATTTCAAAACTTCTCTTACACAAGCTCTCCTCCTCCCAACTCCCCCATTGTTCTGCTCCTGCATTAGCGTTTTGCTTGCGCAGCTCTTTCCCCCGCCCGTTCACTTTGGAAAACTTATAAGCAGTTGCATATGGAGGCTTGCCCCCTCTTTTCTCTCCGTCTGATGAAGACCACTTGTATTACGATCGAAACGTCGTGGGTTTTTTTGCTTTTATTATCTTCAATTTATTTGTATTTTTTATTTAATTTAATTAATATTGTATTTTAGTATTTCGATTTTTTTTTCTATCTACATGACTTTACCGTAAGAACCAAGAATAGGAATACCAAAAGTGTACGAAGAGGGCAATTATTGAAGCCAGACCAGAAAAAGATGATGCATTGAAGAGGTATGTGACAATAGGACTAAGTGCTTTGGAAAACTGAAAACTATTATAAAAATCAACATAGCAATGTGCCAAAATAAATTAGTTTTCAATCATCACCCATGACCTGCCATGGTATATGGATCAGAGGACGCTTTAACATATAAATGCAACAAAAAGGTATGGAGAAATGCATGCTGCGGATTATACAACGACTGAAGGAGTAATACGTGTATCACAGAACACACACATATTACAGACATTATACTGACGTAAGAAAAGTAAAGTAGGGTTGGGCAAGACACATTGTGGGAAATGTTGTTTGACAAGACAGAATGGCAGCCAAAGGAGGGAGCGTGCCGGAGAGGGTGACCGCGACTGGGATAGAGCAAAGAGATTATCTCAGTCAGAGTCACACAGAAAATGTTCATCAAGACCTAGATGTCAATCGAGGGTAACTCTCAAACCCTTTATAGTTTATAATTTTATTATCGTACGAACTACTTTTAATAACCCCACTATTTATCTCAACCACTATCAACGGATATACAGTTATATAAATGTTGTCAAGCGCCATGGATTAAGGTGCTATATTTCTCTATGTAAGATAAGATAATGATTTATTTGAAGCTTTCGTGACTGCAGGAATCCATACTCTTTGGTTCTTTCGGTAAATTTACGTAGGTATAAAATCAAATTAAATCACGACGTTTCGGGCGCAACACAAGCGTCCGTCATCAGATGGGAAAGCATGATTCGCTGCTGAGGCAGATTTTTAAAAGGTTTGAAATGGGTGTAGCCCAAGGGTCATAAAGAAGCCAGAGCCACACGTTACAAAAAATTAGGTGTAAACAAGATTGTCATCAATCACAGTAACATCCCAATTTCCGACAGTCTAAAATCGGCACTAGCTAAAGGGTTGAATGAATTTCGCAGTCACCCCTAAACACATCCCAGTGGATGATATAATTGCCCAGGTCGACATAGCCCTCAAAGGCTTGGGACACATCCTGGCAGACGTTGCTAGATCTAAAATCGCTGCTATCCTCATAAACGCTAAGAAACCCATTAGCAACATCAGCAAGGACGAGCGTTTTGAACTCTCTAAATTAAAAAACAGAGATGACATTGTCATCCTCTCAGCCGACAAGGACAATGCCACTGTCATCATGGATAAAACCACTTACACCAACACAATTTAGGACCTTCTTAATGATGGCAGCTATACCAAAATCAACAGAGATCCCACCAACCGCCTAGCCACAAAAACCAACAATATCATCACTAAATCGATCAGACCAAGCAGAGCTCCCTAAAACCTTCGGCTGCTAGACCACCCAGATTTTATGGCCTTCCAAAAATCCACAAACTAGGTACCCCGCTCCATCCTATCTTCTCAGTCATTAACTCACTCACCTACAAACTGGCCCGATTTCTGTCTGAGACCCTGCTTCCTTTCACGGGAAAGTCCACCTCAGCTGTACTTAACTCAGCTCACTTGGTTTCTCTAATCAAGGACATCTCACTGTCTCCAGATGATTTGCTTGTCAGTTTCGATGTAGTCTCTCCGTTCGCCAATGTACCTGTACCTGACACCATTGCAATCATTGAAGACTTGGTCCAACAAGGACTGAATCCAGATGTACCAACTTTGGTAAGGCACTGCCTTCACCTGGAATGGTACATTCTACAAACAAAATGAGGGTACCCCAATGGGTTCTTCCTTATCGCCAGTGGTAGCGAATGTTTTCATGGAAAAAATTGAGACAGATGCCATCCAGACATCCACCCTACATCCTTCTTTGTGGAAGAGATATGTAGATGACACGTTCGCCATCTGGCCACATGGCCTGCCAGCACTGAACCAATTTCTCATCCACATCAATTCCATACAATCGTCTATCAAATTCACCATGGAAGTGGAAAAGGATGGCAAGCTACCATTCCTGGATGTTTTGATCGAGAAGAGACCTGATGGCTCGTTGGGACATTCGGTCTACAGGAAAGCCACCCACACGGATGCATATCTAAAGCCTGACTCCCACCACCATCCAGCCCAGAAGAATTCCCTCATCAAAACACCACACTATAGGGCCTGTTGCATATCCGACCAGCACCACCTAGCCAGTGAGTTGGAGCACGTACACCAAGCCCTCAGCATGAACGGATACTCGGACAGTACATTCTGCAAAGCTGTCTCTCCAGCCATGGGGAGACAACCTTCTGAGGATCCAACCAAAACCATCACTTTACCATACATAGCAGGGGTTACCAAAGATATTTCCAAAATCTTAAACAAACACAAGATCCAGGTTCGTGTCAACACAGTACACAAAATCCGTGATTTAATCCCATCTGTAAACGATGTTATTCCTGACATGCCATACCCTGGTGTCTACAAACTGAGTTGTGGTTGCGGTAACAGTTACATTGGGGAAACGAAACGACATGTCTCGGACCGCGTTTGTGAATACAAGGCAGATCTGAAACACGGTAGGACAATTACCTCTGCCGTTGCTGATCATTGTTTTACCGCTGTGGGCTTACACGAGATAGTTTTTTTCCAAGACGGAGATACTCTGCAAACCTAATGGCTACCTTCAGAGATGTGTTCATGAAGCCATCCAGATATATAAACACAGACACAACTTCAGCAGAGAAGATGGGTACAAACTGAGCAATCATTGGAATGACGTTATTAACCAGGTAAAGTCTTAACTGACTGTGATGTTTCCATCTTACCTGCCTGTGTCTGCTGTTATTAACGACTCTCTGTGTCTCTCTCTCTCTGTACCTCTCTCTTAGATTTCTCACATGTCGTTTGGATTGCACTCTCATGCTCACATGCCCTTTGGATTGCACTCTCATGCCTTTGGATCACCACTCTTAGATTTTACATTAACATGCTAATCTCTCACATTAACATAGCCACTTCAGGGCCCTTATCGAGGAGGCTGCTTTAGATTGCACCACTCTCCGATTTCACATTAACATGCTAATCTCTCACATTAACATAGCCACTTCTATGCCCTCGTCGAGGAGGCCGCTCTCCTATCTTACAGTTACATGCTAATTTCTCACATTAACATCACTAGCCCCGCCCACTTCTTTATGACCCTTGGGCTACGCCCATTTCAAACCTTTCAAAACAGTCTGCCAACAGCAGCAGATCAAGCTTTCCCACCTGATGACGGACTCTTGTGTTATGCCCGAAACGTCGTAACCAAAAAGTATAAGATAATGAGTGAAGATCAAATGTGTCTAGGATTGCTAATTGATTGTTTGTGTTGACAAAGAAAATTAAAGGTCATCGAATTATTTGTGCAAGTAAAGCAAGCTGTTAAATATATTTATATGCATATCTTGACACGTCACAAGTAAATTGAGTCTATTGTCGAATATACAAACAGGCTGCAGTCAAATATGTTGTCGATTATCAAACATATACTGAATACAATTATTTAAATGTTGTCGATTTTCAACTGATTGTACCTACTAAATAGACGATATATAAAACACATTGCTATGCTATCCACATTCACTTCTGACTGGATTGTGAGTATGATGCATTGCTGTGCTCTAGCAGCCAGAGCCATCTTCTCTTCACATAACAAGATATATCTCCGTAGAGGCACAGTGTGTGTGGGTATGGTAAACAAAATCTTTAAAAGGAGACATTTGATCATGCTAATGGTGAAAAAACGCATATTTTGTTAAATTTATTAAATACGATGAGGGTTTCTTGCTTGGGATTTCGTCATAATTTAATGCTGGTCGTAGTAATGTGGCCCACGTCTACGACCTGTTTTCCTGAATGTTTATCCCGGATTGGGGTGGCCTGGTCAGCTGACTAGTTGTGGTTATAATGGGGTCTCCTGTCTCTCCCTCTGACTGTGGGCCTCTCTAATTGTGTGTGGATAGTGAGTGCTTTGGGGCAGCTTTTGTAAAGTGAAACTTGGTCATAAAAAGCAACGTACCAATGTGTCTAAAGAAGAAGGTTGTTTTATAAGAGTGCAGCATTACTTGTTGTGACATGGATCAGAAACATGAACAGTAGCAAAGAAAATGGAACAACAGTTAAATGTGCGCAGTGAAGCATGAAGGGATGCAAGCTTGGACTTACAATGAGAGATAGAAAGAGGAACAGATGGGTTAGAAAACATATGCAAAGTAAAGATATGACATTGCTTGTTAAGAAAGTCAGTGGGCTTGGGCAGGACATGTTACTCGAAGGGAAAATGACTCAGTGGGTGAGAATAACAGATGGGCAGCTAAAGATGGGAACGTGCCCAGGAAAGTCTGTCATGCAGAGGGGGTGAAGAAATGAACTGTTGCGCAGGTGCTGGGTGGAATGTTGCATTATAGGACTATAAGAGACGGTTCCATCTTGGGGAGGCCTTCAACTAGCAGAAATTGATAATGGCCGATAATAATGACATCAGCCTACAATGTCCTAGAACTTAATTACGGCAAATGCAATGCTTTGGTAATGAAATCCTGCAATGATTACCAGATGGCTGTGGAATATCTCCATTTGCCTTTTTGTACAGTGCTTCGGTAGTGAGTGGGTAGTAACCACCCAGCCACCTAGAGAAGTATATATCAAGCCACAATCTAGATTGAAAACGAATTTATTTACAACTGATTTGTGTGTTTAGTTTGTTGTCCTTCCCCCACACCTTCCATTAGAATGGTTGGCTACGGACGGTGCAAAAGAAGTTCAACATATATACTTCCCCACATTGGTCAGCCTGATTTGGTGAAAGAGGGGGCTTGATAGCTGCTTTCAGGAAAAAATGGTAGATAAAAAGCCGTAAATTGGAAGATGATTTAAATACCTTAGACCACAGCTTACAGATGTAGTGTGTGTGTGATTTTTGAGTATTTCGTGGGTGGATCCTTACTTAGATAACTTTTTTAGGCTGGTTATCTTCTTCAGTAGATTTTTATTGTCCTTCACACCTGTTTCTGTTGAAATAGAAACAGGGCATTGCGATAAACACATGTTTAAGAAAACTGATGCTACCATTTTCTTTTACTTGCATCATAAAGCTTTATACAGGGACTCCTTTACGAACACTCGACTTACGAACTTTCAGAGATAGGAACAAACCTGTCTGTATGTCCATTTGCCTGTTCGGACTGAGTCTCGTCAGTTCAACCGCTGCCCAATAGATGGTGGTCGTGGCATCTACATTTGAAGAACATGAATAACCAGTGGCATCTACATCTACAGGAGATTATACAACTTTTAAAGCCATTCCCCATGTTTAGTGTACATGCTGTACAACATGTTTGGAATCGACAGGAATCAAGTTGGACTTGCGAACAAATCGACTTACGAACAGACCTCTGGAACCTAACTTGTTCGTAAGTAGAGGCGTCCCTGCAGATGCCAATTTCCTCAACATCAGGCAAGTTAGCAATAATTATGAATCCATTCTCCATTATTATTTCACAGTTGCACTAGCGTTAGGGAATGCTAGAAAGAAAACAATTCAATTAGCTAATATTAGGAGTCAGTTACACATGAATGCATGCAGTGTTTTATAGTAAACGTGTCAGACTTAATATTGTGGTTTAAAGAACGCAGACACTTCCTGACACTGATGTGTAAGTCGTATAATAATGTACAGGTCTTAGTCTATCCTCTTGTGGATTAAGCCCTACCATTTCCTGAGTTACAGAGGTTGTATGACCATACTTTGCCACAATGGTCAGTGCAGGATGGTAAATGAAGGGTACCCAGGACTGCATCAGATATCACTAACTGCTGGTGCTCGCCATGGCATAAAATCGAGCTCAGGTGACTGGATTCATAGTGCAGTATGCAAACCACTATGCCACCACTATTTCACTTCTCCATTGAGTTCCTTAACATAGGAGAGATACCGGCAGCAGAGTAATAGGTTAACATGACAGCTAGTAGTGATTTGCCTCTGCAGTGTCTCTGGTAGTGCCTCTGGCTGAATTTATGAATTTATGAAGGTGTTATAGTGGATTAATGCAAGGACTGTGTACACTTAGCCGTGACAGTCAAGAGCCTCCTTACGCTATTGTCCCACTGCTGCCATGTGTTAAGTTACCAAAACACGGGAGTGGCAGGACGTATCTGCGTTTTGGTCTATGGTTATCTAGATGACAGTTTTGTGAATGTACCGGCCGCTAAACCTACAGAGCTCCACTGCAAAACAGAGATGAGGACTTGCCACTGCATCTGCTCTTTTGCAGAAGGGGCAGGGGAGCGAGTGGGGAATGATATAGAAGCTGTCGGTGTGACCAGTGTTCATGTTTATTTATAACAGGGAAATCACCTCCTGGATTGCTTAGTAGCCCAAGTGCACTTTGCCACAGATGTTTCTCTTCCCATAAATTTCACCAAGAGGCTTAGGTAGTTTAACATAGGAGATACAATTAATCTATTTATCTTACATGCAATATATCTGTAAATTCGTGGCCATGCACAGATAAAAAGAGGAGAATTACAAATCCCCTTGTCTCATTAGAGCTGCCATAAACTGGTGCAGGGTTTCCCTATTTACACAAATGCCACTAGAAAATAATGGTCCAGAAAAAACGTAGTCTAACAGAGTGTGATATTACACTCAAGTAAAGAGACATACATAATTGACTATTGTATTACCCACAATCCTCAAGACAGGGCATATTAAGTTTGGTGCAGTGATGCCAACTGGAATAACAGGTCTACAAGCTGCTTGTGCTGTGGCTATCGCTCAGTCGACTCTCATGGGAGCAAACTTATCTACAACTACCTGCAGATGTTTCTTACTTGTGCTGCAGGGTGAGGCGTATTGCCTCAAGCGCAGACAGCTTGTTGTCACAGGTTTGAGTTCTCGAGCAATTCGTCCTGGCTGGTCTAGGTAAGCTGTGCCCTTTGTAAAAGTGAGAACGCTCTGCATAATTAGCACTCACTCTGCTCTGGCGTAAACGTCTTCATCACGTCCTCAATGAACTTTGTCGTCTCTTGGAGCTGCACGCCTGAGCCCTCTCGGGAGGCAGACGTCCGGATCTTCTCAAACATCTCTGCACAGGGTACCAGACTTGTTATCAAAGGAGAACAATATCAATACGTGTGTTCCATTTTATATGTTTGTTCCAATTGCATACACTCTCGATAGTTATCAGGTATATTTAATGTGGTCATATGTTTTTATATATATAACAATTGATTATTGACGATAATGAAAACATAATGCAAATTATATGCATTTAGCCGAATTATAGTTGAACATTGTATGTTGCATGGTCTTGTCCTGAGAAAAATTTAACATTTTAAGTAAGCTTATAGTTTTTCAATGCAATACCAGTTTCCATGGATAAATATTGAGCTTGAAACAAAATCTTCAAACATCCATACATATGCATACACTCATTTACATCAATGCAAAGTATCGACATTTCCTGCAAGATGGCATCAAGGGAAGTGGCACACCACAGCAGATTCTTACTCCACTAAACGGAATAAGAGGGAAGAGGCCTAAAAACACAGCATGTGGGTAGAGTACTGAGCAGGCGGGCAGACGGGGACTGCCCCTGTGACTTAAATGTTAGATATATGCTGGTCTAACGCGTGTAATGCAACTGCATAGATACATCGTACACACGGTACTCTTAATACAAACCTGGGCCACCATTCTTGACAAAAGCTGTTTTCAGGGCAAATTTCTCCTCCCACGTGGAATCAACAAAAGTCATAATTTTCTTCAGCCTTTCCAGGAGCTCAACCATGGCGTAGTTACAGCTGCAAAAGAGGTTGGAATTTAGAAATACGAGCATCAAAGACAGAGATCCTGTCCTTTACCTTTCATATGCTTGTGTTTCATCACTTTAATACAATAAGAGCACAGAAACTACAAATAAAATGACAGCTCAGGATGATTTTACCATTAACAGTTTTTTTCATAGTGCAACTTTTGTGACCTCGTTTTGTGGGTCGAATAATGATGATGTTGCAGCATGGTATGGTTGAGGAGCTGAAGGTGCTGCTGTCAGTTGCACGGTGTTGGTGTTGCATGGGAGGTCATTCGTTCAATGAAATGCAAGATGAAAGAGGAATGGTTACCGCACACGAGCTACAAAGTGCCGCAACGCACGTGTTAGAAATTTTGATTAATGGCAAGGATCCAAATGGTGTCCAATCAGGTAAAGCTGTGAGAATAAGAGAAAAGGAAACAGCCATTTGGAAGGTAGGACAACCAATTGGGTGAGATATAGCAAGGCATGGGAGTATGCAAATGAGCGAATCGAAAGTGTTTTTTGGGCTCTGGGGCTATACAAGATGGGACTGAACACAGAACAGGAGTGTGCACAGAGCTATAGACTGCCGGAGAACCAGGAGCGAACAAGAGCAGCAAGATAAGCTCTCCCGCACTCGAGAAAGTACAGAAAAGTTAGCACAATAAAGTTTGTGAAAATGATTGCTTAGCCAGGGGCAGCGACTGTGATAGCTGCTGTGTTGGAAGTGATACAGAAAGTGTCTGCAGGGACAGCAGTAGTGATGATACAAGTGATCCAAACTGAGGCGGAGGTCCTTGGAAGTTGATTGATAGGTTGAATAGCAGAGTTGCACCAATGCTATTCCACTCATGTATGTTATAGAGGCTGACAGTATTGTATAGAAATCCATCAGTCATAGCGCCGTTGTAAATAGTTAGTTTGTTAAATATCGGCGGAAGAAGTGTGTGTGCCACTGATCTATTTACGTGGGATTACACTTATATTGAAGAAAGTTCAGTGAGATACAGGGCATGATTGACGAGATGTTACTCTCTGGTGTGCTGGATTGGGGAAGATTGTAAGTCTAAATTGCATCGTTTGCTATCCATTAGAGTTTACGCAACATAATTTTTCATAATACGAAAGGACATTAAATGTCACGATGTGACGATTATCACGATATCAGTTTCGCTTAACTTTGTAAAACAATGTCACAATTGTACAGCGTGACGTCATTAATCTATGGTGGGTTCCCTTCACCCGGCCTGTGAGTCTTGACCATGGAGGGGTCTTGTTCTGCTGCACACTCTGCGGGCTGGGACGGCGCTCCGGCCTGCTCACAAATAGCGACGTGCCACTGCAGCCAACGATGTTCCCTGAGGGAATTTTACGCCCTTGGAAAAATCTGCTTTCACATTTTGCAATAAAGCGTGATATCTATACTAGCTGTACTACCCGGCTTCGCCCGGGACTTGTATCCACCACGGCCGGCCGCCTTTGTCTCCCCAGTGGCGATGTTAATACGCCACAGCAGTTACTCGTTTGAGGCAGAGTCAACCTAGGGGAGGTTCAAATAATGGTCACCGGTGGTGGCCGTGAGCGGGAATCGAACTGGGTTCGCCGGGTTGGTAGCGCAGCGTAGCGTTAAGCACTACACCCACCGATCGTCACACACCACACACGCACAGACACACACACAGACACACACACAGACACACGCAGACACACACAGACGGACACACACACACACAGACACACAGACAGCACGCTAAGCAGTAGACTACCGCTCCCCACACACCACACACGCACACACACAGACACACACACAGACACACACACAGACACACACACAGACACACAGACACAGACAGCACGCTAAGCACTACACTACCGTTCCCCCTACACAACACACGCGCGCGCGTCCATAGGTACACATACACGCGCTTGCTGCAGACACACACGACTTTCAGGGAGCGGCAATGCTGCGCAAGGAACGCCTTAGACCTGCAACACATTTGTGTAATGCGAGCGTAAACACACAAACACATACAAACACATACACAATACACACACACATACATGCAGACACACAGACACACACATAACACACATACATACACACACATACATACACAGAAACACATGCACACGCGTACATACACACATACATACAGACACGCAGACATACACATAAAGACATACAAAAAAACGCACATACATACACACACACATACACACAAACACATACACACACATACATACACACATACATACAGACACACAGACATACACATAAACACATACACACATAGACATGACCCGGCTTCGCCCGGGACTTGGATCCACGATGCCCGGCCGCCTTTGTCTCCCCAGTGACGATGTTCACACACGACAGCAGTTACGCGTTTGAGGCTGAGTCGACCTAGGGGAGGCCCAGGTCCGTTTCAAATAATCGTCAGCGGTGGTGGGCGTCCAATGAAAGTGCGTATGGTTTGGAGACACACAGACACACAGACAGACAGATAGACAGACAGATTCAAAATCGCGAATCTGTCTGTCTATCTGTCTGTCTGTGTGTCTGTGTGTCTCCGGACCATACGCACTTTCATTGGACGCCGGTTGCCCCTGCCAACGGCTAGCGACGCCTTCGCCGCTTTCATTGGACCTGGCAACGGCTAGCGACGCCTTCGCTAAGGGCTGCACTTTCATTGGACGGCGGTTGCCCCTGCCAACGGCTAGCCACGCCTTCGCCACTTTCATAGGCTCCGTAATTAATTAAATAATAGCCATTACACAGTATTGTTGGAGCGCTGAGGGGGGGGGGAAGGAACGCCACCCGTACCCTGCCTCTGCCAGGTGCCCAATTTTGGCGAGGCCGCAGGCTCTGCACGCTACTAGGCCTCAACACCCACCACGCCACTCTGAGGTAAATTCATCAAAGTTTTTCGTACTCTTCACTCCACCCCCACCACAATGTGTGCAATTAATATTACTTTTAAACCCAACGCGCCAACAATCGATTACTTAAATGTTCACTGTACAAATAGTCATTAAGCTGGGTCGGCGTACTGCCAGTCTATCATGTAGACTGTAGCCTGCTTATTAAGCTCGGTGAGCGTACTGCCACTCTATCATGTACACTATAGCCTGCTTATGAAGCTGAGTGCGTGTACTGGCAGTCTATAATGTGGACTGTTGCCTGCTTATTATAATCGATTCTTTATATGTTCTTTGTACAAATAGTCATTAAGCTGGTTGAGCGCCCCCAGTTCGATTCCAACTCACGCCCACCACCGCTGACGATTATTTGAAACGGACCTGGGCCTCCCCTAGGTCGACTCAGCCTCAAACGCGTAACTGCTGTCGTGTGTGAACATCGTCACTGGGGAGACAAAGGCGGCCGGGCATCGTGGATCCAAGTCCCGGGCGAAGCCGGGTCATGTCTATGTGTGTATGTGTTTATGTGTATGTCTGTGTGTCTGTATGTATGTGTGTATGTATGTGTGTGTATGTGTTTGTGTGTATGTGTGTGTGTATGTATGTGCGTTTTTTTGTATGTCTTTATGTGTATGTCTGCGTGTCTGTATGTATGTGTGTATGTACGCGTGTGCATGTGTTTCTGTGTATGTATGTGTGTGTATGTATGTGTGTTATGTGTGTGTCTGTGTGTCTGCATGTATGTGTGTTATGTGTGTGTCTGTGTGTCTGCATGTATGTGTGTGTGTATTGTGTATGTGTTTGTATGTGTTTGTGTGTTTACGCTCGCATTACACAAATGTGTTGCAGGTCTAAGGCGTTCCTTGCGCAGCATTGCCGCTCCCTGAAAGTCGTGTGTGTCTGCAGCAAGCGCGTGTATGTGTACCTATGGACGCGCGCGCGTGTGTTGTGTAGGGGGAACGGTAGTGTAGTGCTTAGCGTGCTGTCTGTGTCTGTATGTGTGTGTCTGTGTGTGTGTCTGTGTGTGTGTCTGTGTGTGTGCGTGTGTGGTGTGTGGGGAGCGGTAGTCTACTGCTTAGCGTGCTGTCTGTGTGTCTGTGTGTGTCTGTCTGTGTGTGTCTGCGTGTGTCTGTGTGTGTGTCTGTGCGTGTGTGGTGTGTGACGATCGGTGGGTGTAGTGCTTAACGCTACGCTGCGCTACCAACCCGGCGAACCCAGTTCGATTCCCGCTCACGGCCACCACCGGTGACCATTATTTGAACCTCCCCTAGGTCGACTCTGCCTCAAACGAGTAACTGCTGTGGCGTATTAACATCGCCACTGGGGAGACAAAGGCGGCCGGCCGTGGTGGATACAAGTCCCGGGCGAAGCCGGGTAGTACAGCTAGTACATAAGTATATGTAATGACCGGAAAATAACCCCAAGCCTATGTGCAGCCAAACGCTATATGAGAATAAACCAAGGTCCCCGATTGGACGTAAGTGGTTTCCACAGGGGTTGGTCGGGACGAAGGCTTTTAAAGTGATTGGAGAAAAGGGGTTAAAGGAGAATAGGCGGGAAACAAAGTGGAACCTAGAGGCGACAGTAGGGATCCGTTAGAGGGGAATGACAGGAATTTGCTGAGGGAAATACAGAGGGGACATTCCAGAAACGGGACTGGAACAAGGGAAGGGGGCGTTTCAGGGAAGACAAGCTGAAGACAAGCTGAAGGTGTCACGGGGGTTGATGTCAGGCCGTGACACACTGCGTGAACCCAACAGGACACGTGACCAGATAAAAGGGTGCCAGGGGCCCCAGGGGAGTCACGTGGTTGGGGTTCGGACCTTTCTGAAGGATCCGGAAGCGGGCGTGGCCTGGGGCAGGGCCAGCCACGCCTGAGTGGTTATAAGCGGGGTGTTGGCAGAGAGCTGGGCTGTTCTGTGCTGTTCTGCTGTGTCAACTCTGTGATGAAGCCACCATCTACGATTCTCGGTCTCCGGTCAAGAAATGTAGTATCCCCATGTGTTAGCTAAGTTATGAATGGTGGTTACCACCCTATGTCGTTATCTTGTTAATGTTAAGAGTTGCCCGTTGTCTTTAGATAATACATATTTTTGCCTCCAAAGTACAGTGGGCCCCTGAATTTAACCCACCACACATAGTTTAGAATATTTAAGCATAACTACATGTATAGTAGAAGAGGTTTTTCTGGTTGGCTGGCGCAAGGGAAAGTGTGTGATGACGTCACCCACATCTCACGTTGTCCTTGTGTTGTGCAGATGCAATGCCTCCCCCACCCACCGCAGGTGTGTAACCCTTTGCAAATGCACGGGCGATGCGAGTGTGTTTATCACAAAACGTTATTGCATGTTAAAGAGAGCATTTCAACTATGGAATATGTACTTCACACTCACGACTCTGTCTGTGTCAAAACAGCATAAATAGGGTTACACTCGCATAGTGTATGTGCGTGACAGGGGGTTCGTCGTCTTTGATTGCTTCCCGCAGTCCACACTTGTCCCCAGCCTTCTCTGTCAATTTCCTGCCCGTTCTCCCCCTTTTCCCCACCAGGTCTCCCTTTTATATCTCCTCGCCTGCTCCTCCCCCTTCCACTGTCACCGTCCCACTGTCCCCTTCTTTTTGGTGGGAATCCTTCGCCTGACATCCCTTACAACAGTGTGAAACCCCTTCCCGTGGAGAAACCAACATGTCTATATTAACAGCACCATCTTACCTGGGCAGATTTTTCAATTCCTTTACAATGTTCAAAACTTCATCTACTTTCTTTTTCAATTCTGGTCCTATTAACACAAGACAAATATGAGCAAGACAACAAGAACCCAGATGAAACGGCCTTAGTTGTCATAATTAGGGTCATAAAGGAGACACATGGGCTTTGGGGGTGGAGATGGGGGGACGAGGGCAAATGTAGCCATATCACAGAGCGTGTGGCTGATGTTTGTTATCACAGTTCATTGTTTGAGAGTGGCAGCTTTGTGGCGATTTAAAGGTTGTTGCTCTCTTGCTTGGTCTGCAGACTGGATACACAAAGTACTGCTGTTTTCTCTCCCAATGGGATAGTCGTGTGAGAGATTCCTACTACATCAAGATAGATTGGCCACTCCGACAGTCATTGGAGCCTGTGAGAAAAAGTGTTCAGCATCCACAACTCGTTGAATCAAGGAAGATTTTGTTACCACCCTTACACAGCAAGCTGGGTCTGATAAAGAACGTTGCCAAAGCTATGGACAAAACACAAGCGGCTTTCAAGTACCTCTGTGGAAAATTTCCATGGTTAAGTGAAGCTAAGATAATGGAAGGTGTCTTTGTTGGACCTCATATGCGTGAATTTTTTCGAGATGATGCATTTGACAGTGCACCGCGTGGCAAGGAAAAGACGGCATGGAAAGCCTTCCAGTCCGTGGCCACAAATTTGCTCGGAAATGACAAGGCAGACCACTACAGGGAGTTGGTGGAAAACCTCAAGGCACACAAAAGCCTTGGTTGCCACATGTCACTAAAGATATTTTTTTTGCACTCTCATCTAGATGTTTTCCCTCCGAACTGTGGAGCAATGAGCGACGAGCATTGCGAGCGATTTCACCAGTACATTGCAACAATGGAGAAACGCTATCAGGGAAAATGGAGCCCATCAATGCTTGCAGACTATTGATGGACAGTGACAAGAGATGGTCAATTGAATGAATACAAGAGACAAGCCAAAAAGCGCCGCGTAGACACTAAGGACTAAACTATGCACTTATATATACACTAGCGGTAAGTACCCGGCGTTGCCTGGGTGAAAAATATCTTTCAAAACTTCTCTTAAAAACCTTACATATACACACACAGATACTAAGGTATTGTGAAAGCCCGGTGGGCCGTTTGTACATTTCTCCACCAACAAAATTATAAGAAGCTTGCAAAAGTCCAAAAAGTTGTAGAAATTGTGGGGTAAATAGTTGATGTAAAAGGTTTCCGAAAATTGTGGACACCCCCCCTCAAAAAATTATCTCTACCCCCGTGTAGGTATATATACCTACACACCCTACATACAACAGAGGAAGTAGTATCTATTGACTCTGTAGTTGTATCTACTGACTGTACAGTAGTATCTACTGAGCCAGTAGTAGCTACTGACTGTTGGAGTATTATTTACTGATTGTAGTAACGACTGAACGTAGTACTATCTACTGGGCCTACAGTAGTATCTACCGACTCTATAGTAGTGTAATGCGGGCGCGGGCGACCTCCCGGATGTGACGTCACGGAGAGGTGGAGTTAGGTGACGTGGGAGGAAAGGTTAAGGTTCTTAAGGGAGGAGACCGGAAGAGGAAGGCAGAACGAGTGGGACTGGACCAGAGTAAGGCCACGTGGGCAAAGCCAAGGGGTGGCAGCGGCGGCCAGCGGTGGCCAGCTAAGGGAGCAGCCAGCGGAGCTGCGAGAGAAGACAGCGGTGGGGCGGCTGGAGAGAAGGCGGACGAGGAGCTGCGGGGAACACAGCCGGCGAGGCTGTGTGTGAGGAAGAGGCTACGAGAGCGACGAGAGGAGAGAGAGGCTGAGAGAACGACGAGGGGAGAAACTGCAGGAGAGCAGTATCAGTGTCAGTATAGAGTCTTATAGAAGGACAGCCGTGCGGGTTAAGAGAGAAGAACCGAATAAAGGACACCAAGCCAGACATCGTGGTCGAGTCCTTTATTACATTGGTGTCGGAAGTGCAACGGCATGTCGAAACAAGTGAGAAAGAAAAATGTTCCAGCGCCGGCATCGGCTTCTTCGTCCGAAGACGAAGACTTCCCTCCAAACATGGATCCTGCCAGGGTGGTGGAGGAGAGCCCTGCTGAAACGAGTGCGGGGACGGGAGTGGAAGATGTAGCCACAGTGTCAGGGCCGCCGACACCATCAGACGCTGATCGGCGATGGCTGCAGGTGGCTGAGCAACTGGAGACTCTCAAGGACGCCCTGGGCCAATTGTGTCATCTCGTCACCCCAAGCACGGCGACGGAGAGAGCGGAGAGTGCTCCACAGGCCGCCACGGGTTCTTCACTCCCGGCGCCATGGGCCACGCGGCAGGAGGCCGCCATCTTGCGCGTGCCGCGGCGGGAATCCGCCATCTTGACCACGCCGCGATTCGACGCCATTTTGAATTTGCCTCCGGAGGAACCATCGGCGGAGGGCGGAGTGAAGCGAAGTCGGAGTCGCCATCTCACCACGGTCAAGGAATTCGCCATTGGGGGCGACTGGAGCGCTTTCGCCTGCAGATTTTTAGCGGCGGTCCGTTCTGCGAGATGGACCGATGCTGAGGCCTTGGAAGTGTTGCCGACTCTTCTGGACGACGAATCTGTTCGTTTTTTTCGCTCCATTAAGGCCGAGAAGAAGAGGACATTATATGGAGTTTTTCAAGAAATGGCCGACGCCTACGAGCCACCTGACGACGCGCATCGGCGATTCGCTCAACGACAACGAGCGCCCGAGGAGTCGCCTGTGGCGTACAGGGGTGCAGTGCTTGATTTGGCTATGGCCGCGTATCCAGATACAACACCTGACCTGCTCGAGCCTCTCATCTTGGGCAAGATGCTCGAGCTGTCGCGGGATCTTGGGATTCCCATGCCGGTGTGCGGGCATGAGAAGCTCACCTCCCGGGCGGCGGCGAAATGTCTGGATGCACAATTCAACCTACGACGATGGAAACAGGTCACGGCGTGGACAGGGGGGCCCGTCGCGGAGGGTGGCGCTCTGGGTTGGGACCCTACGAAGTCGGTATACGTGCCGGATGAGCGGGGCCCTCAGGAGCTGACGGCCGCCTCGGTGCCATGGTCAGGCCGCGGTGGACCGGCCTCTCGTGCTGCACCGCCGATACGCGGGCGGCGCGATGCAAGGCCTGCGCTTCGGCGCAACGACGCCGATTGCTTCCGCTGCGGACGGAAGGGCCACTACGCGAAGGACTGCTGGGCCCGCATCCCGGGTCCGCCACAACAGGAGGCCTCATTACCGGCCAAGCCGCCCAAGGATCCACCGAAACAGGCAAGTCGGCACGCATTACAGTAGTAAGAACTAACTGTATAGTAGTATCCACTGACTATAGTAGTATCCACTGACTATAGTAGTAACTACTAACTCTATAGCATTATCTACTCACTCTATAGTAGTATCTACTGACTCTAGTAGCTACTCACCGTCGAAGTATGTACTGACTGTATAGTAGTATATACTGACTGTAGCAGTATTGACTGACTGTAGTGATATATACTGACTGTTTTAGTATCTACTAACTCTATATAGCAGTATCTACCAACTCGATAGCAGTATCTACTATCACTACTGCAGTGCATACCGACTGAGGTGGTACCTGCTATGATCACAGCAGTACATACTGGCTGTGGTGGTACATGCTATGATCACAGCAGTGCATACTACTGTGGTGGTACCTGCTATTATTACAGCAGTGCATATTGTGGTCCTACCTGCTATTACAGCAGTGCATATTGTGGTGGTACCTGTTGTCTACAGCAGTACATACTGTGGTCGCACCTGTTATGACTACAGCAGTACATACTGACAGTGGTGGCACCTGCTATGACTACAGCAGTACATACCGACTTTGGTGGTACCTGCTTTCACTACAGCTGTGCATACTGACTGTGGTGGTACCTGCTATGATTACAACAGTGCATACTGTGGTGGAACCTGCTTTCACGACAGCAGTACATACTGTGGTGGTACGTGCTATGGTTATAGCAGTGTATACTGACTAGTGTGCCTTTCTCCTAATTTTCAAGCTTGCGTACCGGACCACCTCGTCATCTTGCTTACCGCTGTCTGTTCTCTCTGCCTGGGTCCTATCTTTGGAATTTTCACACTTAAATTCTAACTTAGCAATCTTTGAAATACGTAATCAACCGGGCTATGTGTTGTGTGTTGACCGACTCTCTGTGTTGCATTACATTACATTTCGATATTTTACTAGGTTATTTAATTGTAGTGTTTCTTTCTCCTGATTTTCAAGCTTGCGTGCCGTGCCGCGTCGTCATCTTACTTGCAGCATCACGTTGTCGTCCACTCATTGATATGCTAATTTTTTCTCTGCCCCCTCCCTCTCTCCGCCCCCGCCCCCCTTCTCTATATTTAAGGCCCCGTCACAGAAACGACCTCTCTCTTTATGCCGATATGTGTTCTCTCTCCGTGTGTCCTTGTGATGTCTGTCTGCTTGTATGTCTGACTGTGGTGGTACCTGCTATGACTACAGCAGTGCATACTGACTGTGGTGGTACCTGCTATGATTACAACAGTGCATACTGTGGTGGAACCTGCTTTCACGACAGCAGTACATACTGTGGTGGTACGTGCTATGGTTATAGCAGTGTATACTGACTAGTGTGCCTTTCTCCTAATTTTCAAGCTTGCGTACCGGACCACCTCGTCATCTTGCTTACCGCTGTCTGTTCTCTCTGCCTGGGTCCTATCTTTGGAATTTTCACACTTAAATTCTAACTTAGCAATCTTTGAAATACGTAATAAACCGGGCTATGTGTTGTGTGTTGACCGACTCTCTGTGTTGCATTACATTACATTTCGATATTTTACTAGGTTATTTAATTGTAGTGTTTCTTTCTCCTGATTTTCAAGCTTGCGTGCCGTGCCGCGTCGTCATCTTACTTGCAGCATCACGTTGTCGTCCACTCATTGATATGCTAATTTTTTCTCTGCCCCCTCCCTCTCTCCGCCCCCGCCCCCCTTCTCTATATTTAAGGCCCCGTCACAGAAACGACCTCTCTCTTTATGCCGATATGTGTTCTCTCTCCGTGTGTCCTTGTGATGTCTGTCTGCTTGTATGTCTGACTGTGGTGGTACCTGCTATGACTACAGCAGTGCATACTGACTGTGGTGGTACCTGCTATGATTACAGCAGTGCATACTGCTGTGGTGGTACCTGCTATGATTACAGCAGTGAATACTGCTGTGGTGGTACCTGCTATGATTACAGCAGTGCATACTGCTGTGGTGGTACCTGCTATTACAGCAGTGCATACTGCTGTGGTGGTACCTGCTATGATTACAGCATTACAGCAATAGTTTGTAGCCTTTTGTTTCATAATACATTGTATTTATATAACCCTTTTGCTGATTTTTAAAGTGTTACATGAATAGGACAGGTGACATGTTATCATGTAAAGCAACCATAAACACATGAAAAGGCCTAGGTTTACACTTTATTAGTAAAACTCTACGATCTACACAATATACATAGAAGTAAAATGTTAAAACATTGATATCTTTGGAACAGTAGCCAATCACTTGTTTTAATTGTCATATTTGAATTCAGCACCTCAAAATCCATAATAAACAGCACATTTCATCTCTGAAGCAGACGACGTCTACAAAATTGTAGACGAATGAAATTAAACATTAATTGCAATATTTAAATAATAGTCTCCTTGCACATTTGCACAGAGGCTGCATCAAATCCATACCTCGCATGTCTTCTGCCAGAAACCGCAGAAGCTGAGGAGGAAATTAAGATTCAGCGATAACACCGGGCATAAACATAATCTAGCTGTGAAGCCGTGCGTGCTGAATGCAACACACATAAAACCCCCTGGTGAACATGTTTAATTATTTAAGTCCAATGTTATCATGCAACTGTTATACATTAGCAATATAATGTAGAATACAGACAAGTTATACTCCCCTTGTCACTCAATTTATACGCTGTATGCTTCATTGTGTATATTATCTGCTATACAGAAGAGTGCATCAGCTGTGAAAATAGCACTAATTCAATATCACTCACGACATGTACACTATTTACAAGACAATCACATTACTGCTGTAACAGTCTGACAGTTTAGTGTTAACATACTTGACCTGTTCACCGACTACACATCAACTGCTTTTTAATAGTTTATCACGAAACCAATTGTAATATACCTCAGTTAAGTTTTAACTAAAGCACACACCTCTGAAGGAGTTTCATCCATGGACTGCATAAGATCAACCGTCTAAAACAAAGACAATTACATGATTACCTCAGCACATTCACATTCGTTTCACAATACGGTGTCTCAATTGAAGCAAAAACCATCTCTGTTCTCACAATATAACAATAAATGCTAGTTTAAGTTTTCAATTCAGTGTTATTACATTTTGTAATAGAAGAATACATTGATAGATATCTCATTTGATTAGCACATTGCTCATGACTTGTTGGACAACTTTGTAGTCTTGTGACTTTCTTCAATAAGTTCCTGTCGTTCATTCCCATTGGGAGTGATAATGGCTATGTCGTCAATAACTTAGATATGGACAACACTTTTTTCATCCATGTTCATTCCTCGATTTTTCTTATAACATTTTCAGAAAACATCTTCTAATGTCGCAGTGAGTAACTTTGGCAAGGTCTGTATATTGACTTAACATGCAATGTGTTTCATCATGCAACCTGAGTGTAGCTGTTACATTTTTGCAACCGGTCGAACTTAAACTATTTTCTTTTTACATGTATTTATTACGATCTTAACTTGCGAGAGGCTGAATGTGTGTCACACAGAAAGTAAATAGTATGAAAAAAGGACAGCATCAAAAAATCACAATCAGTCATTGGACCAACATCTGCAGATATGGTAACCACATTTTTACACGAAAATGTAAATCTCAGTCATTGAACTGTGCTTCAATTATTCTTCTATTCAAAAAGAGTGATCATTCATGTTCTACAAATTTCCGAAGCAATAACAGCATACCTCATGGAGTTTACTCAGAAATTAGCTTCCCCCCTCCCAAAAAACAGTGAAGTATCAATAAAACGAACTACATAGATTGTATATATAATGAACTTCTTCCGTACCGTACGTAGCCAACCGTGCTAATCGGAGGTGTGGGGGAAGGACAACAAATTAAACATAAAAAGCAGTTCTAAAGAAATGAGTTTTCAATCTATATTTAAAAGTGCATAGTTCCAGTCGCGTCCTTATATCAGAAGGAAGAGAGTTCCAGATGGCCGCAGAAGCACATTTGAAAGTGCGCGATGCAGTGACAGTATTTGTTCGATAGCTCGCCAAAAAGGTGCTGCGAGGATGACCAGAGTTCACGTGATGGTTTATGCAGGCACCAATTAACACACACAAGGCATTCATAAAATGCATACAATATCAAGCACCACTATGTTCCATTAAGGATAAAGTGATGTCATAGCAGTAAAAGTATCTCCGTTGGCAGTTGTGTCTAGCTGAAGTGATGTTCCTCAGCTCAGTATTTTTCCACGTAATTGAGAGCTTTATCATGTTGGCAAATCGGGTTGAGCAGTTATATCTAATGCATACATTATCAAATCATAATTTTTGCATGTTTTACCACAATGCAGAATGTTTGCCTTGCAATGTGTGTCTATTTGATGTTTGAACATCTTAACACCTTATTTTTGCCAGAAAGGGTAAAGCCTATTCTGTTTTCATGACCAATGTTTCACGAAAATAGGACAGTGTGATGTGGTGAGTTAAGATGCCGTGTAATAATGAGCATAACCACGGTGTGATGAGGCAAGAGCAGTTTAACTTCCACGAGGAGCCCCGCTTCTCTCTCCCAGGCCCCAGGCAGCGCCAACTCACCTCGGCCAAGGCCTTCTCCAGCGCTTCATCTCTACCGCTGGCTGCCACGGGCTTCAAGGAAGTGAAAATCATTAATTACATTTTCATTCACGTCACATAATAATAATATGTAAATAAAGATAACTTACAGCTTCCCACATCGTGTCAGTCATGGGGGTTAATTGACCATACCTCACCGTACTTCATTAGACCTCCTTTGCCAGTACCAAAATATAATAATAGGGGTTTTCCCCTTTTTTCTTGCAACAAAACTTGTTAGTGTGGGTTGGTGAAGATGGAGGCCTCAGGACTTTCAGATATTACTCGTCACCAATATTGGCCGTGGTCACAGAGTCAATCTTGGGTCGCCGGATTACATAGCACAGTGCGCTAGCCACTGTGCCACCGCTCCACCATTTGATTTAGGAATTTTCAACAATTAGACACATGTAAACTCACATTCACATGCTTTATATCAATTTGACGTTATATGTGATGACATAACTAATATTTAATATATTGGAGGTCCAATCTTCAATACAATTTTATTTTAACAGTAAGTAATTTTGGAATACATTAACAATTTCCAGTTAATTAAGTGTTTTTGTGCAAATTCATTTTAGGACAAAAATGTTCAATGTGTATCAGGCAAACAGATCGAGTGTTAACTTAAAACGCAGGTTTTCAGACACAATGACACGCTAGTTTTTGGGTCAGGCAACGTGGCAGTTTTATAAAAAAGCATTTCTGTCATTAACCCTCCACCACCCGACACCAACTACCAAAGCACGCGTTATCTGCATTTCTCTGTAATGTGGGCCTGGCCAGCTTTCATTTAAATTATATGAAATATATAATAATAATAAAAACACACACATTTCAGTAGTGTTCAATTGACTCCTACTTTGCTAATCATTCCTAGCATCCTTGAATAAAACAGACCACGTAAGTCTCTAATCAACTTGTTAAACCACTCTAGCATTGACATGTTTTTATTTCGTGCTCTTTCCCTCACTCATACCCACTCTCTTCTATAAGATGCACACTAGTCGACTCTCTATCCCTCCACAGAGTCATTGAGGGCTCTCTCAATGTCATTAAATGCTGTAATTACAAGGCACGCCCAATGTGCCTTAATTCATGATCCAGGCGAGGTCCCACTAACCTTTGTTAAAAATCACCTCTCCTGGAAATCCTGAATATTATCACATATGTGGTGTTAAAGGATCTACATGCTCACCCTTTTGCCATATCATGTTAACAGCTATAACTATGAATCACACATTAATTAGTTGTTCAAGCTGAGTTAGGCAAACTAGTCCATGTCTAGAGTAGTCTACACTCTATTTTCATATAATATTTAGTCTACACCCTATATTCATCCATACAGTGTATATCTCATATCTTAGAGGCAGAACGTCTATTGAATAAATGTGATTCATAATATATGTTTGGGTCATATCGCACAAATAGAATGTGTGTAGTAAACCCTCCACTACTGAACACACTACAAATAATAAAGTTGTCCCTTGAACAAACATGCCAATTTATTACTGCGTGCCTTTACACAATGTGAGTGCTGAAGCAATAATACATTGGCACATTATTTCACGAGACGACATTATTGACTGTGTTGGGTGGAGGAGAGTTCATGGCACACATTTTACTGATGCAATTTGTCCCAAAAATATATTTGTATTCATAATATTATTCGCGAAAGCTCACATGTTTAATAAATGTTTATGGAAGTGAAATTAAGCAACACATTTTACACATAGTGGCTAAGGCTATGTCATATGTTAGTATTTAATTCCAATAAATTATGGTATAGAGTGTAAGCAACAATACTCCCTTGCATATTAGCATCCATATGCCTGTTCTTTTTTTAAAAAAAGAAATACGTTGTGAAGCTTGATTACTGCAAAGTACAACCACAGAATTATCCAAGAAAACTCACGCCTTGGAACATGCGCTGTATTTTAAGAACATCGAGTGGGCTGAGGAAGTCCCTCTGACCGATCGGAGTTTTCTTGTCTTGAACCGGCACAATCGTGGGGCTGACTCCATCGATTGATGATGCGTGCCTTTATACGGCAAGCAAGCAGAGGAGGAAATCAGTAACAGTAATAACACTCATTAGATGAGAAAAATTGTCTAAGATTGAAAAATAGTTATTGCATTATTGTTTATTGCCTTTTTGCTACATGTATTCTTTTATATATTTAAATCAAGCAGTACATAGTGCTAGCTACTTGGCATTGGGATCAGCAACTAGGAAAATGACTAAGAACATTAAACAAAATATGATAATTGCACAAAGCAGCATGGGGAGATGCATTCCTGGAATTACACTGAGAGAAAGTAAATATATCACATAGCTAAGGGAACAATTGCAAATCTTGTGATCCAAAAGAGGCTGTAAACTTGAGCTCAAGTAATAAATAAACAACTGTCAAGTAAAGTTTTATGAACAAAATGTAATAATTGATAGAGGGACACAACACTGGACAACAGAGCAGAAGTCTCTAGATGGTAATTAATGAAGGCTGACCAGGAACACAATGATGGAATGTTGATTAAGAGCAGGACCGAGTCAGTTTAGATTATAGAAAGCAACTTCGCAATGTATAAAAATCGTTAAGTTTGCAATCATTACACATGACCTGCCATGAAATATAGATAGAAGACTAAAAAAAGAAAATGAAACAAACACATCATGTAGCAATGCATGATGGGACAGGGACATTTAAAGTATAACACATGGATCAAAGAACACACACATTAAAGACATCATACTGACTATTAACACAAAGAAGTGGGATTGGGAATGACCCATAGCTAAAACGGACGATGGCCTATGAGAAATGCATCTGATTTATGCAATACGTGCATGCTATAAATAGTGTTTATTAATATTAGTGGTGATGGAATGGCAGCCAAAGGCAAGAACATATCTAACATTACAACCACCATTAGATGTGCAGGCACAGGAGTGAGACGGACTGTGGCATAGCAGGGCCATGGGGGCAGTGGGGCCGTGGGGGCCCTGGGGGCAGTTTGGGCCGTGGGGACCGTGGGGGCCGTGGTCAACGTGTGGGGAGGTTTTCATCAAGTGTGGGTGTATTGGCTAACGATGATAATAAAAATTGTTATTGAACCAGAATTAACCTTTGAAATTCACATCAACATTTCTAGGGGATTCTGGCAAGATTACATCAAACATAATCAATGTATATTACAAGCACAGAAAATAGATGAATACAGGTTATAGTTTAACATGTTATCAAAGTTTTAAGAAGATGGTGTGAAAATGTGAAGTGTATGTTGCACAATGATGTCGGTGGAAAGGCACCACCCGCTTAGCATGAATATTGATGAAGGACAATAAATAATAATGAAGAATTCCATTTATTTACATTTCAGTGGTAAAGTCCATGGGGAGACCAAATATGGGAAATATTCTGTATGGTGGCAGATAAGGCAAGCACGTGTGTTCTAACATCAAAAGCTTTTGTTCTTGTCACTTTGTTAATATACAACTCTATGACCAACACAGTAAGAAGGATATTGCTGGTGCCTCAAGCACCTGTCTCTTAACACTAAAGTTGGCCGCTTTACTCTTCCAAAGTGGTTTATATTGTCTGTCAAAAATCTTCGGCAATACATAAGGCTACCAGTTTCTGGGAGACTCAAAATGGACTTGAGCTGGCAGCCGTCTCATGTTATCCTCGCCAACTTTTACACAATTATGCCCACCCAATCACGAGCCCAATTCACACAGTGAACCTCCTTGTTCTCTTTGTTGGCCCTTCCCACTGCCCATAGGCCCCAGCCACATGCCAACCTCATCCATTTCTATCCACTGCTGTTCTGTTTAACCATCCCTGATTGGTCAACCAATTGAAGCTGGGACAAAATCGCTAATGTCAAATAAGCTTCGGGATACCGGGACATCCTTTCTGAAACCAAAGCTGTCTCAACCACAGTGGGATGTTTGGTAGCTTTACCATAATAAATATTAACGTCATCGCAACCACCTACCTGTCTTATGCATAAATACTACCTAAACACATCAAGTCCTCATCTATATTCACTCTCTCATTTCTTGACAGCTGTGATCAAGTTTCAAGATACACATTCCTAACCATTGCCATGCACTTTGTTTTTTGGAAGCTCACACTCAGATCCCAATTTTCACCCTTATTGCCTAAAACAGCCAAGAGCTGTAATGCCACATCCAAGGGCCTCACGAGCAAACCTTGGAGCACAAAAAGCCTGCATGCTGCAAGTCTCCTCGGTGCAAAAAGCACACTGTGATCTCTGCGTGTTCTGCCATCTACAAGTTGTGGTTGTACTGAAAACAAAAGTTGATCATGACATTAAACAAAGCTGGTGGTAAAATACACCCCGACCCAACTGCGGTCCTTACTCAAAACCACTTTAACGTCTGTCTTTCAACCCAGATACAGGACTGTATCTCGCAGTATATGCTCTTAGGCGGTCTGCTTTATTTACCCAGGATGTGAAAGCAATCTAAAAGTTCCCATAGTCCTCTCTAAAGGCAATCATATGCTTGCTCCAAGTCTTGTTTAAAGTCTACATCAGATATGTTGTATTTGTGTAGAGGACACAAACACACACTGTGAAATAACTCACAAGAGTGGGCCCTCTGTGGCAGTGTTATAGATCGAATTTCATAAGAGTTAAAGGCAAAAAAAAGCTTGCATGGTTACCAGGTCTCACATGCATTATAGAATAAAGTGTCTTAAGAGCCTTTCTCTTGGTTTCTGGCCAACTGAATATGACACGCCAATCTTGTAGTGGCTGCTTATGTCGACGCTTACCTGCTGTTGTGTGTAATGGAGATGTAGTCATAAGGCAGTCCGTAGTCACGCTCACTTAATTCAAGACGTTTAAATTGGCACAGATCACCTGAAAAATAAAAAATAAAAATTTATTTAGTGGCATTACTAGAGCTGGACATTTGAGGAGGATAGGTATTAGGCAGATAATTCTAAGGACATCATGAATACCATATTGGCCCAGATTTACATACCTGGCAGGTAATTAATGATTGCGACTGAGCACTCTGCCATCCAGTGGGATGGATGTGACACACACATACACCATGTGCCTAGCCAATCATAGCATAGATGTGTGGAAAGGGGAAACTACAGCAATTCCAAGACAAAAACCCTAGCCACTTGCATAACATTCCATCCCTCCAACCAGGAGTTCACATAGACACGGATGCTGGGTTTAGCAAAACAACCCACACCTCCTCGATGTTGTCACATGGGAACACTGACGTGTTTTGAGAAATGCCATTTGCGGAAAGGTCGAAAGGCTGATGCTAGTCAGCTGTTTACCCTCATGTCATGCTTATATCCACAACAGTGCTAAACGCGGGGGTGCTGGATAGGTGTGAGGGGGTGGAAGGCCCTCCATCTATTAACTTATTACGAAATGAAAGAAATACAAAACACCAGCCTAAGCATGTGCCGGAGGCCTACAGGGGACGGGCAAATATGACATATCCTCGCCAAACCTCATATGCAGAGCCAGGAGACTGAATTACCCCCACCCCACCCACCAACTGGGGTTCCTCCACAAAAAAGACTAATCATCTGTTGACACCTCTGTGGAATACAGGAGGTCCAGTGAACCAGTACTGGCTCCAGTTAGAAGTAAGTCCTCCACTTGAGGCAGGACACTATAATAAACGAAGTGTGGGAGTGTAATGGGTTCCGGAGACACTTGTAGAGGTAACTTCTTTATTACAATACAACACTCCAACAGTACTCCAACAGTCCTGGACCCGCTGGGAACCCAGCGCCTGGCGCCCAGAGGCTTAAGCGTCTGGACTCGCCTGGGATCCCAGAGCCCCCAGCAGCCCCTCCCTTCTTATGTCACTACAGGAGCATAGCCATGAGGAGCATAGGAGGTGCCACAGTGGCGAGATGTTAACTATCTCGCCTGGTATAGAGGATGGTTGTGGGTTCGATCCCGACCCTGACGCCTGTATATTTGGAGTTTGCATGTTCTCCCTGTGGTAACCTGGATTTTTCTCCAGATCCTCCAGTTTTAACGCCGCATTTAAAAACATGTGTTTAGAGTATTTGGCTGCTATAATTTTCACATAAGCCACTTCGTGGCGCTATCATTCGTAGCCAGGTCGCTTTCTGAAAAAAAAAATTTTTCTTGCTCAGTGGGCTTTACATGGTAAAATAAAAAAAGTTTAGTTTTAGTTTAGATGTGGAAAGCTGCGAGTTCTAGAATATTGTTGGCTTGCCTCCACATCGAGAGATGATGAATGGTGGTTGGTGGCTTATGTCCTCACTGAAGATTAATATCCGTGGATGCAGGAAAGACTGTCGAGTCACATGCTTTCGATGACTTCCTATCCAATGTGTTGGCTAAAGTGGGCCATCAGGAGAATAATTTTATTGTGGTGAGTCATGACAATAATACTTTGGCAGATGGCCCAGATCAGTTGAATAACAATGGTAGGAGGCTGCTATACTTCTGTGCAGCTCATGTACTCGTAATTACAAACACGCTGTTCCGGTATTGGTACAATCACCTATCTGCTGGACTATATATCGTTATGTAATAGCAAATTCAGGCCCATATCCTTGACAACAGCACCTATCATGGAGAGGATCTGCCAACTGACCATCTACTTGTTATCTGTAAAATACGCATGCGATTATTTCACTATTGCGCTGGGCATGAACATAGGACGCCATTCAACCTCATCACTTTCAGTTGGGGTTGATATCGTCCCCCCTCCCCTTCATGCAGAGGAAAATGGGTAAGGTTCAGTGCTGGCTAATGCAGCTGCTATGGCTCAATTAGATCAGCAGTCCTGCCCTTTCTCAAACACCTTGGCCGATGGAGGCGGTGTTCCAGCTCGCAAAGGTAAAGCAGCAGCCCCACTCTTACCATCTGCAACATCCCATATCTGAGAATGAGGACGCTTACCACAGCCTTCGGTTGGAGATTCAGAGAGCCGTGTGGCACTGAAAGGATAATTGATGGTTGCAGGTCGCTGAGGAGATGGAAACTGACTCAGCAGCTTGCGATCACAAATCACTGTTTAATTGCATCCAGAAACCAACTTCAAGCATCACACATATTATAGTCCTTTAGGGAAATAATGGTTATACGATGTCTGACCCCCAAGAACATGTCTGTAGGTTTGCTGAGTATATCTGTGAGGTCTTCGGGGATGGGAAACCCATCAGCCCAGATAGCATCATGGGGTAAGATGGGGTTGACCCTCCTGGGGGTACTGTGCCTCAAATATTGGAGGAAGTACCCACCCCCTGTGAGTGGCTGGCTGATGTGCCATCTGTTGAACTATGAAAAGTGATCCAGATCCTGAGACACGGAAAAGTGGCAGGCAGAGATGACTTCCTAAATGAACTGCTGAGGGAGGGTAGCAATTTTGTGCAGGCTGAAGGATATGATATAATTACCACTTTCTGGACCATAGGATGTGTTCAATATCATAGGAGGCCCTGGTGGTCCACTTTTTAAAATAAAAAATAGCGCACTGATTTTAACAAGTATGGGGGCATCTATCTCCTCAGTGTGCCGGGAGAGGTCCTGGCAAGGACGATTCAACATTGCCTTGCCAGGCACGCTGAGGAGAGGCTTGCGGAGCCCCAATGTGGTTTCATAACAGAGCAGCCCTGCACAAACACCATATTCTATGTCTGTCTGCTACATCGGAGGTGTAGGGAATTTGAACTGGACCTATAATCACTACTTTATTGACCTGGTCAAGGCCTATGATACCATCAGTAGGCCAGGGCTTGAGGTTATTATTCATGCTTTTGGGGTAGTACTCAAAAATCTACTTAATGAGGAATATAACACTCAAAGCTCCCCACAGTATAGTCTGGATTACGCAGTAAGTGATGTGACAAAAGCTCTGCTGTGGCACAATACTACTCGGTACTCATGCAGCACCTGCAGCAGTCAGGCAGTCGGGAATGACAAAACTGCATTGGACTTGCAGCACCGACCATGAAGCTTGCAATTCCTTTCTCTTTTTACAGACGACTCCGTTTGTGGGACATAATTCCGATGTGATCACAGACGGTGAAAGTGCATCAACACCATGGGTGATGTCAACAAAATTACGCTTATGTGAGTAAACACGCGGATTCCCTTGCGTGCCATGCATACCACTATGTCTACTGCAGTTTATGAGAGAGCCAGTCAGTGATGCGAAGTTTAAATAAATCCCTCGCACAATCACTAAATGCCTACCTGCAGGCTACTGAGTTCACTGCTCAACTGACCTTTTTTTATCCTTATAAAATGTATGTAACTTAACCCATGTAAATGAATCCTCAAATGTGGTGCATCTACGTAAACATATAAACATCAGTTCATGAAATAAAATACTGCTCCTTATAAACATGTTAAAGATAAACAACGCACTCTCCTTGATGTTGTCCTCATGGATGTGGACGTGGTCATCGCGATCGCTGCGGCAGTGCTCGTGGTGGAAGCCGAGCGCGTGCATCAACTCGTGCAGAACCGTGCCCCTGTCCACCTTCCCGGGCTCCAGGGACACGGACTGAGCCCCTCCCTTCTTGCCCAGGAACGACCAGCTCCTGCTCACACAGTACCCGGGATGAGTCAATCAAACATTCTGGCACACGTGGCCATCCCAAACATGCAGATATTCATTACACTGCATCAATTGTTATTGTTAAACTTGTTTACCAAGGAAAACCTCGTTGAGTATCAATACTCAGATCAGGAAGGTCCTGCCAAATTTTAACAGCAGGAGGCAATGTTGCTGTGTATAGTCACCTCAATTGAATAACTGGCACATTATTTTTCAGCAATGGAATATTTGGGCAATACCAGTTACAATGTTATTTTTGCACGTAAAAACAGCCCCTGTTCACACCACTACTGTAAGCTAGTTCAAAGTGAAACAATGCCTGTTTAAGAGCCGAGAGTGTTACATTACAGCAGTGCCATCTCACGGAACTGGCCAAGTCCAAGCCCACTTTAACTAATCATCCAATTCATAAGCAGTCAGATGATCATTTTATTCCATGTTTGTTTTTACTTCTTATTCTGGTTTGTTGCATTACGAGCTGTCTTATCTGTTGTGTGTTTGCTATGTACTTTATATGGTTATTTAATGTTTGAAAAAACTTTTAACAAAAATGATGCGACATGGAGCATGCTCTTGTTTATTTATGTGTGGTGTGCTCATGAATATTCAGACGCCGCATCTAAGTGTAAGAGCGTGGTGGGGAGACACTCGCACAGACTGAACATAACAGAATCAGCCCAAAAAAAAACAAAGATCCCCCGTATAGCCTGAACAGAATGTTGGGGCAAATGCTATTCGTGAGCACTTGTGAAGGCCGGCACGGCACAAGAGGGGGTGGGGGGTCAGCAGCACACCCAGCAACCTCTGTCTCCTGAGTGGCGATGTTTATACATCGCACCAGGTACTCATTTGAGGCTGAGTCGACGTAGGGGAAGCAGACTATATCTGCTATAAGAATGGTGTGAATTCTAAATGTACTGATGATTTAATTAAATCTGTGATCAATGCATTTAGAACTGTAACTCAATGAAAATGTATTTTAAGTAATGAAAAAGCTTATCTATTGCAATTTAGCACTTGCACCTATTTAGATTTGTTCATGCTAGGGTTCAGGTTTCGTTTCTCTGTTGATTAAAGTAATCTAAGTGATGAATGAACCAAGGATATAGCGCTTATCTATATTTTCGTGAGGTCAATGAAGATCAAAAACATTTGATAAAGTCTGATAAACAAGATCTTACTTTTGAAAGGGAAAAATAATTTGCTTTGTCATTTTTGAACAAAGTAAAATAAATTGACTCAACTTTTGTATCGCAGCAGAGATCACCTTCAAACATATATATTCAGCAAAAGGAAACTGTTCAGTTTTTATGTGCTATCATACATGATCAGCACTAAGAGACAGATGCAAAAAATGAAGACTAGACAAACCAATGTTAAGGTAAATTTATTTATTTACAATATTAGTAAAACCTAGATCATGTTCTTCACGGTCAAGGCACAGTTTTAAGTTTGTTAATCCAATAAAAAAGGGCCAAGTCACATACATGAGACATTGTTGAGACAGTAGTGCAGTGGATGGTAAACAAAGGCAAGTTAACCTTCTTGGTTCTTTCGGTAAAGTCACGTAGAAGGGAAGTAATAAAATAATAAAAATAAAATATAATAAAACAATTCTCACGACGTTTCAGCCACAACGCAAGCAGCCGTCCTCAGGTGAAAAAACCAGGTCCGTCGAGGCGACAGAGTCTGAATGAAACAGCACAAGAGCTTGAAGCATATATATAAGCTGGGCGCCTTGACAAAGGAATTTGCATATCAAGAGGAATTTAGCATATTTATGGGAAATGCAGGAATGTGATTAGTACTACATATGCATGTGCATTATGCAGGATTAACAGCATCAAAGGGAGCTGCAGGTACTGCTGCCGCTGCAGTTGCTGCTGCCGCTGCAGTTTCTGCTGCCGCTGCAGTTTCTGCTGCCGCTGCAGTTTCTGCTGCCGCTGCAGTTTCTGCTGCTGCTGCAGTTGCTGCTGCTGCAGTTGCTGCTGCTACTGCAGTTGCTGCCTTATCCATTTTAATATAACACTATGTATTATTTTACCCACCCTAATGTGTATCACACTGCTATATATTTACTATATAATTACGACACCATACATTACTCTGCACACTGCACCATGCCAGTGAGTGGAACGCGGTCTGAAAGTCACCGTAAACGTGAACCCAATCAGTTAAGATCCGAAATGGTTTATTACGTCCTTCCAATGATTGCTAAGCCAGAATCCATCTTCTCGGTTAAAATTGTCTCTGTGTTTGTATATGTGGATCGCCTCATGAACGAATCTCTCATGATAGCCAGATGGCTTGCAGAGAACCTCTGTCTTGGAGAAGTCAATGTCATGTGAGCCCACTGAATTGTAACAGTGATCTGCCACGGCTGAGGTGTTTGTCCTACCGTGTTTCAGGTCTGCTTTATGTTCACGGATGCGGTCCGAGACATGTCGTTTGGTTTCCCCAATGTAACTGCTACCACAGAGGCAACTTAGTTTGTAGACGCCAGGGTACTGTATGTCTGGAACCACATCTTTTACAGACGGTACCAGATCACGGATTTTATGTACTGTGTTGAATCGGACCTGGATCTTGTGTTTAATCAGGATTTTGGAGATCTTTTTTGTGACCCCAGCAATGTAGGGTAAGGTGATGGTCTTGAAAGGCTCTTCAACAGGATCCTTCTTGATGGTTGGAGTGATGGCTTTGCGGATTGTGTAGTCGGAGTAACCATTAGCCTTAAGAGCTTGGCGTACGTGTTTGAGTTCACTGCCAATGTGTTCCTGGTCGGAAATGCATTGGGCTCTATGATATAGAGTCTTGATGAGGGAATTCTTCTGGGATGGATGGTGGTGGGAATCCGGTTTTAGGTAAGCATCCGTATGGGTGGCTTTCCTGTAGACAGAGTGGCTCATTGAGCCATCAGGTCTCCTTTTGATTAGGACATCCAAAAAGGGTAGCTTGCCATCTTTTTCGACTTCCATGGTGAATCTGATGGCTGGGTGTATGGAATTGATGTGGTCGAGAAATTGGTCTAGAGCAGGCCAGCCATGTGGCCAGATGACAAAAGTGTCATCTACGTACCTCTTCCATAAGGTCGGGCGTAAGGTGGCAGTCTGGATGGCGTCCGTCTCAAATTTCTCCATGAAGAAGTTGGCTACAACCGGAGATAGTGAGGAGCCCATTGGGGTGCCCTCAGTTTGCTTGTAGAAAGTTCCATTCCAGGTGAAGTATGTATTGGTTAAGCAGTCTCACCAGGGGGGGTACCCCAGAATTCAGTCCTTGATGAACCAAGTCTTCAATGATTGCGATGGTGTCTGGTACAGGAACTTTGGTGAATAAGGAAACCACATCAAAACTGACAAGCAGGTCGTCTGGGGACAGGGCAATCCCCTTGATTGTCGATACCAGGTCAGTAGAGTTTAGTACCGCAGAGGTGGTTTTTCCAGTGAAAGGCCGTAGGATTTCAGACAAAAAACGAGCCAATTTATAGGTGGGGGAGTTGATAGTAGAGACAATGGGACGAAGAGGTGTATCTTCTTTATGTATCTTTGGCAAGCCGTATAATCTTGGTGGCCTGGCTGCAGAAGGTTTCAACGAGAACTGTTTGGTCTGATCAATTAATGCGGTTGAATCAGAAATTATTTTGTTGGTTTTAGTGACGAGGCTGTTGGTGGGGTCTCTTTTTATTTTTGTATAGCTGCCATCGTTGAGTAGTTCTTGAATTTTGTTGTTGTATTCTATTTTGTACATGATGACAGTGGCATTGCCTTTGTCGGCTGAGAGGATGACAATGTCATCCCTCTTTTTTAATTGAGCTAATTCAAAACGCTCATCTTTGCTGATGTTGCTAGCTGGCATCTTAGCGTTTTTGAGGGTTGCAGAGATTTCAGATCTTGCTACGTCTGCAGCGATGTGACTCAAGCCCTTGAGAGCTGCATCTACTCGAGCAATTATATCATTAACTGGTATGTGTCTAGGTGTGACTGCAAAGTTTAGTTAAAACGGTCAATACAACAACAAAATTCAAGAACTACTCAACGATGGCAGCTATACAAAAATAAAAAGAGACCCCACCAACAGCCTCGTCACTAAAACCAACAAAATCATTTCTGATTCAACCGCATTAATTGATCAGACCAAACAGTTCTCGTTGAAACCTTCTGCAGCCAGGCCACCAAGATTATACGGCTTGCCAAAGATACATAAAGAAGATACACCTCTTCGTCCCATTGTCTCTACTATCAACTCCCCCACCTATAAATTGGCTCGTTTTTTGTCTGAAATCCTACGGCCTTTCACTGGAAAAACCACCTCTGCGGTACTAAACTCTACTGACCTGGTATCGACAATCAAGGGGATTGCCCTGTCCCCAGACGACCTGCTTGTCAGTTTTGATGTGGTTTCCTTATTCACCAAGGTTCCTGTACCAGACACCATCGCAATCATTGAAGACTTGGTTCATCAAGGACTGAATTCTGGGGTACCCCCCCTGGTGAGACACTGCTTAACCAATACATACTTCACCTGGAATGGAACTTTCTACAAGCAAACTGAGGGCACCCCAATGGGCTCCCCACTATCTCCGGTTGTAGCCAACTTCTTCATGGAGAAATTTGAGACGGACGCCATCCAGATTGCCACTCTACGCCCGACCTTATGGAAGAGGTACGTAGATGACACTTTTGTCATCTGGCCACATGGCCGGCCTGCTCTAGACCAATTTCTCGACCACATCAATTCCATACACCCAGCCATCAGATTCACCATGGAAGTCGAAAAAGATGGCAAGCTACCCTTTTTGGATGTCCTAATCAAAAGGAGACCTGATGGTTCAATGAGCCACTCTGTCTACAGGAAAGCCACCCATACGGATGCTTACCTAAAACCGGATTCCCACCACCATCCATCCCAGAAGAATTCCCTCATCAAGACTCTATATCATAGAGCCCAATGCATTTCCGACCAGGAACACATTGGCAGTGAACTCAAACACGTACGCCAAGCTCTTAAGGCTAATGGTTACTCCGACTACACAATCCGCAAAGCCATCACTACAACCATCAAGAAGGATCCTGTTGAGGAGCCTTTCAAGACCATCACCTTACCCTACATTGCTGGGGTCACAAAAAAGATCTCCAAAATCCTGATTAAACACAAGATTCAGGTCCGATTCAACACAGTACATAAAATCCGTGATCTGGTACCGTCTGTAAAAGATGTGGTTCCAGACATACAGTACCCTGGCGTCTACAAACTAAGTTGCCTCTGTGGTAGCAGTTACATTGGGGAAACCAAACGACATGTCTCGGACCGCATCCGTGAACATAAAGCAGACCTGAAACACGGTAGGACAAACACCTCAGCCGTGGCAGATCACTGTTACAATTCAGTGGGCTCACATGACATTGACTTCTCCAAGACAGAGGTTCTCTGCAAGCCATCTGGCTATCATGAGAGATTCGTTCATGAGGCGATCCACATATACAAACACAGATACAATTTTAACCGAGAAGATGGATTCTGGCTTAGCAATCATTGGAAGGACATAATAAACCATTTCGGATCTTAACTGATTGGGTTCACGTTTACGGTGACTTTCAGACCGTGTTCCACTCACTGGCATGGTGCAGTGTGCAGAGTAATGTATGGTGTCGTAATTATATAGTAAATATATAGCAGTGTGATACACATTAGGGTGGGTAAAATAATACATAGTGTTATATTAAAATGGATAAGGCAGCAACTGCAGTAGCAGCAGCAACTGCAGCAGCAGCAACTGCAGCAGCAGCAGCAGAAACTGCAGCAGCAGCAGAAACTGCAGCAGCAGCAGAAACTGCAGCAGCAGAAGAAACTGCAGCAGCAGCAGCAGCAGAAACTGCAGCAGCAGCAGCAGAAACTGCAGCAGCAGCAGCAACTGCAGCGGCAGCAGTACCTGCAGCTCCCTTTGATGCTGTTAATCCTGCATAATGCACATTCATATGTAGTACTAATCACATTCCTGCATTTCCCATAAATATGCTAAATTCCTCTTGATATGCAAATTCCTTTGTCAAGGCGCCCAGCTTATATATATGCTCCAAGCTCTTGTGCTGTTTCATTCAGACTCTGTCGCCTCGACGGACCTGGTTTTTTCACCTGAGGACGGCTGCTTGCGTTGTGGCCGAAACGTCGTGAGAATTGTTTTATTATGTTTTATTTTTATTATTTTATTACTTCCCTTCTACGTGACTTTACCGAAAGAACCAAGAAGATGAATCCCTGCAGTCACGAAAGCTTTAAATCGAAATTTAAAGGCAAGTTAAGTTTATTCACTCATTTGTGAATCATAACCCAGTTTACCCACTTATGTTTACCACTTCACCACTTAAGGCAAACCACTGACGTACATGGGAGTTGTTGCACAGATATGAGGTCTTAGAGAGCTGATGAATGTGAGGTAAGAAGGAAACCTGAGTCGAGGAGAAGCCCGTAAAGGCTGCTGGCACACTTAGGTTCACGATTTAAGAAGAACGCGGAGAAGGAGTCTTCGTTGAGGCCTTAACATTTTGTGTTGGGAGTGCAGTCGAGAAAATCAGAGAGCTTTGAAATGGAGAAGCACAGTTTCAGTGGAGCTCTCAGGTGATATCTAAAGAAAGCGTTTCGCGATTGTTGGCTCGGTGTTCTGACAAGGCTAACACATAGGCCCTATGAACTGTGAAGCCAGCTCCATTATGAAGTGTGAACATTGATCGGTGCTCACCCGCCCAGTGCCTGGAAGTTAATGTAATCCAGCTCCTGTTTTCTTGCAACAAAGCGGACACACGTCTTCTCTTGGAATTCTCCGAAGGCTTCGTCCATCTCATTCTTGTCTCGAGAATCTATAAATAGACAAAATATGGTATTGAGCCAGTTTATGTAATTGAATACATGTAAAGTAGTATGACACAGTGGTGGCTGGGCTATAGGGGATGAAACATAATTTTTTTATATTATACAATTTTTGTAAAGTACAAAATAAATGGCTAATTGAAGTCACTATACTTAACTTTTGAATCACTTCAGATAGAACCGATTGAATGAAAATCGCTAAGCAGGAAACATGTAGGTCGAGGAAACAAACAAAAGGATAATTATTCTTTGGTTCTTTCGGTAAAGATTTTACCGAAAGAACCAAAAAATACGAATCCTTGCAGTCTCGAAAACTTCAAATCTAGAAAAAAGGATAAGTGTCGGCTTCCCATTGGCCAATTTAAACGCCTCCCACAGAGCCAGAATGGGGGAAAGGCATTGTGTATCAGGGAAATATCCGGTAAGCCCCAGACAATCACAAGCAATTTGCAAAAAATGCATTTGGCCCGCCCCACCAGCTCCTCACACGAGGGTTACTTGATTGTCCATTAAGTCACAGAGTGCATAGTCTTGTCCGGTTGTATACTACTACAGCACTGGTAATCAGGAACATTCAACCTGCACAGTGCTTGTCAGTCACTGCATGGTACGTTCCAACACAAATACAAGGATCCTCCATATAGCCTCAACAGACATTTTGGGAAAGTCCTGTGAGTTAGCACCTATGATGTCCGGGACGGGAAAAAAGGTGGTCAGCACCATGAAAAACCACAACAGGCACTTATTTAAGGCTGAGTCGACCTCGCAGAAGTGCAGGACTCGTGCAGGTAATAATAGCTGGTTTTAGCCATGAGCAGAAATCAAACTCGAGTTGCTGGGTTCGTAGCAAAGAGCGCTAACCACTCAACTACCGCTACCCATAACATTCCAACACACGAAGACAAAGATCCCCCGTATTGGGGCAAGTGCTGTTAGAGAGCACCTATGAATGCCGGCACGGCACACGAGGGGATCGGTGGCCAACACCAGGCCCGGCCGCCTTTGTCTCCCGAGTGGCAATGTTTACACACCGCACAAGGTACTCATTTGAGGCTGAATTGACCTAGGGGAGGCCCAGGACCGGTTCAGATAATCATCACAGGTGTTGGCCATGAGCGGGAATTGCACTCAGGTACCCTGGTTCATAGTGTAGTGCACTAACCGCTGCACTACCGTTCCCCACAACTTTCAAACACAGACACGCACACACAGGGCCGTGTATCTCGCTTCATCGGTCTGCCTTTTGCATTGTCCATCTTGTTTGCTCTATCTTATTTAATTATCTCTCTCGTTCGTTTCATACCCCCGCCGTCCCACATTTTGCCATCCATATGTCCCTCACAAGTAATCAAGCCAGTCGCTTGCTTCATTCAAAGGATTGCCCACTTTGATTTTTAAACATACGCATTTTGTGAAGGAGAATGTTTAAACGTAATCCTCGTGTGTGGGCATCCTGGCACTGCTTTTGATTACCGGATTATATTTCATGACAAGCATCTTTCAAAAAGTAAATAGCAGCAGGATGTTTAACATATACATTATTAAGAATATTTAAGTAGGCCTAGTGGTTGTAGAAGCCTCCAGGGTACATAAGCATAGGTATTATTTTGACCGATACTATGTTTACAAAAGGATCATCTCTGCAAAGGAGCCAAACAAGCCACCGTGTGACATTCATCCCAAAAACTCTTCCTCATTTTGCCTCCCGGAATTGTGGACGCTGCCGCTGCAAACTAAAGAATTGATTGCAATGTACTGCACATGGCAATTTCATTGGAATTTGAGTGTGCAATGTCACATGCACGTGACATCCTGTGTGCGTAACATTATACACTTGCACGTTGTGAATATGACTGGACATAAGGGAAAGTGGCCCGCTTGACAGAACAGTAAAACAATCATTGCTTCACCCTTAGGTATATACAGGCGAGCACTCCTGAATTAAAATTTTGACAGGCCCACATGGAGCTTGACACTCCTTCTACTCAGACTTGCAATCTCATGGTATATATACGATCCTAACTCGGCAATATAACTCAGCTAAAAAACCTTGTGAGATCATGTAATCTCAAGTGTGATAGATTTGCACTCACTGAAAGCAATAGAGATGTTGAATGGGATGTACACGTTGCCATCCTGGTGTTTGGGCCATTCCACAGTTTTCTCTGTGGGATCTCCAGCAATGTCCCCAGCCTTCAGTAAGATAACTCCACCAACTAAACAGAGAAGTAAAAACATGAGTGTTTCATAGGCACTGTCTCTTTTGCATATGTGTTAGTGGTAAGCCCTTAAGAAAATAAATATCGTACCGTATTCATTAAAAGATAATTAAGAAAGTGTCCGATATACCTAGTATGCATGACTATCTTTGAAAATAATGACAAAAACGTGTGGCTTGCATTTTGAGGTATATTATATACCTTAATTCAGCCAGGTGGCCCTATGAGAGTGTGTGATACATAATTTCCTAGGGGACAACTCATATCACACTATGTAAAACATGTTTATTCCTGGGTAGTATTATTTTCTAATTTCTTATGCCTCAAAAGTATATAAAATGGCTATTATCCCCCACAAACGTTGCTTTCCATATTCTGCTTATGATTTTATACAAAAAGCGGTCAACAGAAGGTGACGAGTGGCAGTTCTCACTGTGACACTCGATGATCCCCAAGGCATTCCTAACCAACCTGCCTCAAAATTCATACATTCATGATTCTAAGTCACAATATGAGGGCTCTAACACCTTTCCTTATACAATGTGGTCTAAATATATTTTTTATATACTTTGTGGACCATACACCTTACCATACAAAATTTGTACTGAACAGCTCGTCATATACTACATTCACAGAAGGTATTTAACCCTTGACAGAGTATGTGACTTGCAGATGGGATAGTAATGTTGCATCATTTAGTTTAGTACCAAGAACTAATAACGAACTCTTACCCATCCCTGAATCATGAATCGCCATGGCACTGGAGATCTTGGTGAGGAGATCCAGAAGTGGGATTCTTAAGTCGCGAGGTTTGGGAGAATCCATGATCTTAATGAGCAGCTCTGCAGATAAATAACAGAAATTGGGTTAAGACACTTCTGCACAGTCCACATTTACTCAAGTTGGAATTAAAAACATTATAACTTGAAAAACCTTTATGGGAGACACCATGTCAAAAGACAAGCCAGGCAGCCTTCACACAGATAATGCTGCTCGACTGATTATGAGTGATACATCTGTTGCTAAACCAGAGCTGTCTATAAGAATACATGGTATACACAACATGTGGTATACACACACAAGCAGATAAATAAACACATACACTTTCTGTATTTTAATTTGATATGGCATTCTCTCTTAAGTGGATACATGTTTAGGAAGTATCAGATAAGTGCAGCATTAATAATTTATTTTGTATTTGAAATTAGGTTTGTCAGTAAACTCAGGAAGAGGTTCCTTGGTGGGGCATGAGGAATGGGTACAAACTTAGTAATCATTGGAAAGATGTTATTAACCACGCAAAAAAGACTCAATTACACTTTTTTGAACCATCTTATCTGACAGGCACTATTTTACTTTACTTTACCGAGTGTTTAACAGTAATCTCTTCATTGTTCAGCCAGCATTGGTATAAACAATGGCATTTCCGTTCTTTTGTGTCATTGTTTCAGGCCTCCCCCTCCCCCTCTCTGCCCAATTCGTTGGCGTGTGCAGCAGTTTGTCTCTTGCGCACAATCGCTTCCACGCTGTCGCCCACCCTTTTGGCCCCGCCCCCCTCCCTCCGGATACGTTCCATTCATTGGCTACCACATTCTAATGAACTCCCCCCCCCCTCTCCTCCCCCCCCCAACTCGCTTTTAAGGGATTACATCTTGAATCATTGCCTCACTTGATGCAGCTAATCTGGCTGTGACGGTCCCACCTGATGACGGAGACTTGTGTTGCCTCCGAAACGTCGTGATCTTTATTTTATTTTATTTTTTATTAATTTTGATGTTTTACCTACGTGACTTTACCGAAAAAACCTAAGAATATGAATCCTTGCAGTCACGAAAGCTTCAAATCTAGAATGAGGAATGGAGTTTGGGAAACCCTGATCCGCACCATGGGTCCTCACCCCTCTGGTGTTTGCAGTCGTCCAAAAGAGCTGCAACTGCGTGTTACTGCACCCTGCGTTATTAGTCTTTGTGTTTAAGCAAGAAAATTATATAGAGCAGCTTGCTACTTGACCAGCAGGGAGAGATGGTACTAAAGTACAGAGACACTCTGCTGGATTTTAGTGTACGTGTCATACCTGTCAACCCCTTATCAGTGCCTACCTTATTACAGACCAATTCAAACTGTATTGGTCACCCCGTACCCTTATAAATCACAACGTTCATCCGACAAAGTTCCATCACAAGGGAGAAACTAAAAAAAAATGTGCCCGTATTGAAACGGCTGTATGCCGTGTGGATCTGAAAACTCAATTTCCTTGTACAATAATGCAAGTAAAACGTATGAGTTTACAGGTATGACATGTACACGAAGACACTGGTAGCCTGTCGCAACCCCCATGCTTCCTCAAACCCCAGTTGAGATCCCCTGATGTGGTTGTTCATGTTTCTGAGGTCTCTGAAAAGAGAAGTGCTGGCCCAGGCGATGGACAGGGATAGCACAAAAACCCAACCAGTTTCAGCCCCAGCCTGAAAATCTGAAAAAGTTTCGACCTTCATCAACGGCAGTCACACCCAGCTGCCCTCACAACTGCACATAAAGGTTGTCTGTTACACCTCCACTAAGGGGCAACAGCAGTGTGAAGAGCTGCACCTGTTGCCTCAGTCTGAGGCAACTACGTCATGAACTCAGAGCAGGTCTCAGCAGAGGCACGTCTGCTTAAAGAAATAAGAATACCTTCAACGAGTATTTTAACGATGTCCTGTTAATCATGATGTTATAAGAAAACCAACAAAAATAATGAGTACGGTAAGTCCTTGCTTGACGTGTGGTGTTCACACAATGCGTTTTCTCAATAACACGGTTCTTCCATCCGGGAACACTTTTCGCACAACGCGGAACGTGCACATTATAATGCAGTTTCTGAGTTGTCAAAGGCGTACTACTTTCTTGAGCTACGCGGCTGAGTGGTGTGGGGAGCGGTAGTGCAGTGTTTAGTGCGCTGCGCTACGAACCTGCGTAACCGGGGTTCATTTCCTGCTCACAGTCAACTGCAGTGACAATTAACTGAACTGGTCCTGGGCCTCCCCTAGGTTCAATGAGTACCTGGTGCTATGTATAAACATATCCACTAAGGTATGGTGTTGGCTACCCACCCCCTGGTGTGCCGTGCCAGCCTTTGTGTGCTTACTAACAGTACTTGCCCCCACAATCTATTACAGGCTATAATGGGGATCTTTGTCTTTGACAGTACGCTGAATTATACAGTATGCGGTGCTGTACCCTCAGTTATTGTCCCTACACCTTCTGTGTGTGCGTTGTTCATCGTATCTCGCCAAACTTTATTGTTCCATTTATGGGGAAATTGTTTTCGCTTAATGCGCTTTTTTTTCATGCGGAACTTTCAGGAATGCATCTACCGCCTTAAACGAGGACATACGATACGTATAATAATTTAAAATATATGATAGAAATTGCCAAATTTATAATATTCTCCTTTGCCTTATTTATTATGAAGTCCCATCTCAATTTAACATCCAACATTGAAATAATAAGGGTGCCAATGAGACATCCCTCTGCTCATAAGATTTATATCATATGGAATGACAGCAGGCAAGTCTGAAGTAACATCGACTAGACCACAAGGTGTTGTTCAAATTGGCAACCCTCTTGCATTCAAACCCAGGGAAACGTTTAACCCTTCCACAAGTGGTACAATTCAATTCATACCAGGGCCCCCATTCCCTTTGAAAGCCAGGTGCAGAGCAGCAGTCTCCTCCTCTGGACCATCAGCTGACAGCATTTCATGAAGGCACTCTAGACTTGTGATTGTAGATTCGTCAAAGCTGTGAACAAAGCAAACCACATGCAGCATTATGTTTTGCAAAACATTTGTTAATTTTTGTAAACATGAATGTACATGAGCAATTAATAAAAAAAAGTAATGAATAAACATATCTGCATTTATTTATCCACGTGAATTTTAAATATTTGTATAATCCATCAACCTATGGGACTTCCAACACAATCTGTTTAAGTTATCAAACTCTGAACCAGGTATGGCCTCAAGATCTCATCAGCAGTCATGTTTGATTAAAATAGAAGTGCTTGGTTACCTGATGTTGCTGGCAAGAGCTCTCTGTCCATAAGACGGAGTGAATTTATATAAAGTACCACTTTTTTGTCAATTAGCAGAGGTGGGACAAAGTCATTGTTATGCAAGTCCAAGTCGAGTCTGAAGTAATCAAATTCATGACTCGAGTCTGACTCGAGTCCAAGTCACATGACTCGAGTCCACACCTCAGAGGTGGGACAAAGTCATTGTTATGCAAGTCCAAGTCGAGTCTGAAGTCATCAAATTCATGACTCGAGTCTGACTCGAGTCCAAGTCACATGACTCGAGTCCACACCTCTGTCAATTAGGGCAGCATTATGTAGAAAAATAACTCACCAATCATATCTGGCAACCCAGCAGTGTTTATTATTTAACAAGCCTGCCAGCTGATGACACCCTGAAGGTCTAATCCAGTCTACAGTCTTCTTGTTTATACAGATGCTCCTGGAAGATATTGCTCTGAAAGTCCAGACTTTTACTTCATGTGGAGACACAATGAGATGTCTAATTATTCACTATTAGGGGTGCTGTGAATCAGAGGTGGGACAAAGTCATTGTTATGCAAGTCCAAGTCGAGTCTGAAGTCATCAAATTCATGACTCGAGTCTGACTCGAGTCCAAGTCACATGACTCGAGTCCACACCTCAGAGGTGGGACAAAGTCATTGTTATGCAAGTCCAAGTCGAGTCTGAAGTCATCAAATTCATGACTCGAGTCTGACTCGAGTCCAAGTCACATGACTCGAGTCCACACCTCAGAGGTGGGACAAAGTCATTGTTATGCAAGTCCAAGTCGAGTCTGAAGTCATCAAATTCATGACTCGAGTCTGACTCGAGTCCAAGTCACATGACTCGAGTCCACACCTCTGCTGTGAATCCAACATGGCTGATATTCAGCCATTTTCACATTTAGAATCTCGCCAAAAATGCAAAGCTGAATATTACCTGAGCCAAGTTAATTAACCAAATTACAGGTATCAAATCTGCATGCGATTAAGATCTCTCTCCTCTCATGTTGTCTGAATACATCTCTTGTTATCTTATATATCATCTGACTATCCAATACATTCTACCTTTTATGTATTTTGGAATGCATCTAATATTATCTCTATCATACCCCATATGAATGCATCTCATCTATTGTGGATACTTCTATGTTCACTATATTTAACTTTGCTCTATCACTATCTATCTTGTATATCTCCCATATAACTATGGTGGAGTGAAATTGAGTACATATGTAACGGGTTCCGGAGACACTTGTAGAGGTAACTTCTTAATTACAATCCAACAGCACTCCAACAGTCCAACAGTCCTGATACTCTGTAACTTATCCCAGGTACAGAGCCTAGGTACACAGCCTAGATACACTACTCTGGCTACGCTCTGGAACTCGCCCTCACAAGGTCGTAGAGTCGGGAGTTCCAGAGTCCCACCACTGGCTCTCACAGCGTCCCAGGGTCCTCAGATGGCTGGTCTTGGGTGTTGAGCTACGACTGGCCCTGATCGTCCAGGGAGCTCCCCTTTTATGCCTAGTCCCCAACGAGGGGTGGGGCCGTGTGCCCCCCAGATATCCCACAGAGCACACACAGCCCCCCCCCGTTGGTGGCGCCAAGAGGCTTAAGCGCCTGGGCCGGCCAGGAACCCACGCCTGGCGTCAAGAGGCTTAAGCGTCTGGACCGCCCAGGGTCCCAGAGCCCCCAGCAGCCCCTCCCTTTTTATGTCACTACACATAAATGCATAGCCTGTGCATGCATGGATGTCTGACCCTGTCGCGAAGCTCCCTTGAGGTCCAAGTCGCATGAACTTTGATTGTACCACCACAGTCATCTCTAGTGACACCACAGTCCTCTCTAATGACACCACAGCTGCACTATGATAACAGTTGTAGGAAACTTGGAAACTGTCCCTTGTGTTATTGTAGTCTGGCTGTATGGCGCATGTCCAAAGAGATCTTTACTTTGAATCCCATTTTTGCACCAAATCAATGTAGTAGATCATTGTAATGAGTCAAGTATGTTAATACTTTACCATCTTGCATTATAACTCTGACCACACCTCATAGATAAAAAAAAACAATTACAACGAAGTCAGAGGTGTTGGGAAGAAATAGATAAACAATTCCCAGATGAATGTACACGACATAAAGTCATTTAAACTGCAATAGCAAGCAGGGTGACGTCCTACTTACTCTGCACCAGAGGGCAAGTTCTCACCTGGTCACGCTGATCGTATTTTCTATCATTCTTTCAACAGTCTTCACTTTCATCTCCAAATTATTTTCTGCAGATATTGAAAAAGGTAGCTGTTAGGCAGCTGACAGCAGAATACAGAATGTTCGGTGAGAAAGTACGATTGGCAACTGATGCAGAGCACACTAAATAATGTGCTGGCAAAAGCAGCAGAGGAAACTGACGTTTCTTCTGACAACTTTCTGTCAGGTCCCACAAACTGAAAGCTCATTTACAAATGCATAATAATCTTTGGGCTGACATTGGTGGCACCCAAGCTTCCATCATGGAACAAAACTTATCAGTACTTTGTAGTGCATGGTATTCCACTGATGTATATCTGGTATGTGCTAATGGAGAGGAGGCATGTATGTATGTTGAACTTCTTTCGCACCCTATGTAGCCAACCGTGCTAATAAGAGGTGCAGGAAAGGACAACAAACTAAACACACACAAAATAAGTGCTAATGCATATGTATCAATATCTGGGGATTTATGTGGCACATTCATATTATAAACATTCTCGGTGACTAAATCAAACCTTAGGGCTATTGCAATGTACTCACACCTCAGTCTTTAATTCATAGCAAATATTGATACATAAAGTAAATGTTATTGTATAATGCTATGCACTGTATTACAGTAATAATAAAATATCTAATTATAATTTTCTCAATATAATTATTATTCAAATTAATAATGCAATTCAAATGTGTGTCTTCTTCGCATCATGCTGCAAAAACGTAACACGATTTCCCATTCACTTTGTCATTTGGATACTTGTCATTGATTCAATATAAGGTTATTTGTAAAATCGATCTTTATTATGGAAATGTATAATGCTTTAAAAAAACCGGAACCAATTAATTAATTAATTAACAGCATATATATATATATATGCCCTTGATATAGTTCTGCAATATAATATTTTAGGATACAATGAACATCTATAAGTGACAAATTCCATCCTAATGCAGCAACAATCAAGAACATACTTTAACATAACTCATACAATGCTAATGCCAATGTGCTTAAAAAACATGTGTTTTTGTAAATTCCAATACAAATCTTGATTGTGGCGCTTCCATTCTTCCCTGCGTTTGGCTGTTATCTCTGACTCTCTGAGTTGCATTGCCCTGTTAGGTGCCTCTGCATTAACGGGCTGGGGTCTCACTAACATGGCCACCTCTGCTCCCTTAGCCTCGGTGTGTCGATGGTTCTGGCTGTGTCTCACTGATGCGACCACCGTTGCGGTGGCTCTCTTTCGTAGACGCGCTTGCCTCACAGCGCAGTTGGCAGCGCTGCAGCTTGTGTTACACATAGACATGACGTTAACTTGCTAATCCCCCTAATCTCCCTGCCTAATCTCTCCCATCAATATCGTGCTAATCTCCCCCATTAACACAACTGACGTGCTTGCATCCGGGGATGGAATTCCTTTCCAGCTCAGACCCCGCTTGCTTGCCCATCGTCACATATATAACCTTGTTGTAACAGCTCTCTCGCTGGTTCAGCAGTTCTACTGCTGGATTATTGTTTCTGCCTGAGGACGACCGCTTGTGTTGGGATTGAAACGTCGTGATATATTTTTTTCTACCTACGTGACTTTACCGAAAGAACCTAAGAGTAAATTTCGATTTAAAGCTTTCGTGACTGCAGGGATTCATCTTCTTGGTTCTTTCGGTAAAGTCACGTAGAAGGGAAGTAATAAAATAATAAAAATAATAAAAATAAAACATAAAATAATTCTCACGACGTTTCGGCCATTTTCCTCTCATATCTTTCAACACGCGGCCTCCTATCTCTACGTGCACAACATTTCCTGTATCCATCACTTCCTCACCCCATCATTGCCAGTACCCTTTCCAGGACTATGCTACGGTTCAACTACCACAATGTGCTCCTTGCCAACCTCAGTTAATGGCTTACCACCAAACTCCAAACGGTCCAGAATACTTCCTCCAGACCTCACCAACACCAACATACACATTCTGTACACGTTGACATTCTTTTTATCTTCAGCCCTCTTTTGCACAACTCATAATATTGATGGGGTCATGCCAATCCATGATTTTTCCATAATCCTAAGATCATCATCATTCAATTTACTTCTGGATGAAGACTTCCCAAAGCCGCCTCCATCTCTCGCGCCTGCACAGGAGCCAATTTCATCCCTCAATCTCCATTGCGGATAATCTCTCAGTGTGTTCCCTCCTTAGGCTGCCACTCTATCATCCATTCTGGTGATGTATCCTGCTCAAAACCATTCACTTTTCTGGACAGTCAACATGAAGTATCTAATGTGTGCATATTTTATAATCTATGAGTTTATCATGTTGCCTCTCAGTTTAATTCTAAGCATACAACTCTCCATAAATTATCTGCATATTTTTCAGTCTTTATTCCATTTTGCCAATGTAAATGTTTCTGCCACATATTACCCCAGGTAGTACACACTGGTTAACCACATTCTTCTTGAGGCACACTGGTATGTTGCTTTTCATTATCAAGTTCAGTTTTCTAAAAACACTTTACACCTGATCTCATCCTCATATTTCTATCATATATTTGATTTCAGTGCACCTTAAATAACTGTCCGTGATTTACATACTGTATATACATATACTGAATTCCACTGCAAACCTGTAACCAACAATTCGTTGAAATTAATCGAGACATCCCTCAAGTTACACTGAACTGAGCATATAATGAGGCTTGTCCACATCGATGGCCCCATGGTGAGGGCTTGTCTTTACACAAGGTGGCGTCTAATGAATTACAATGATGTGGCACTCATTTTATTGACCCCAAATGGCTATGTAGCCAAGTCAACCCCAACTAGGAATTCAACTATAAACTTGTAATTATTTAACCACTCTGGCATCTGTCTAGGAACTTTTTACTATAGAGTATAACATGAAAACCCACCATTCGTTTGTTGCTATGGTTCGTACTTATGTTGTGATTAAACTTAATCAAACCGGAATATACTTGGCAATCACTGCTCCCAATCGAAAAAGAGTCACGAGACTTGGTGAGGCTTTCCTGGGTAGACAAGCAGTGTAGTAATCATTGTTGTTGTTTAATAGACAAAGACAATGTGTACCTTTTTCTTTTTTTTCTTCATTTATTTCTTCTTCAGTCTGTAGATTTAAAGAATAGAAGATAAAATGAAGAGCACATTTTCAATGCACAAATTGTATACATATTATAATCCATGAATTTACGACTGAATTGAGCAATTATTGGTAAGTGAAAGGTCACATGGAGTTACTCTGTCTGCTGAGGGACCCACAGTATAAAGGAGGTGCATATCTGGTGAGACGCTCAGATCAAGGCACATGTGAGCAGTGCAACTGCACAGGAACCCCTGATCTTTAAGGATCCCTGGGGTCATTGTGCAGATGTGGCCATCGGTGAGGTTAATGTTCTCCTTACCCTTTCACCTTACTAGGCAGCTCTTTTAGGTCATGAAACTATAATTATACAAAACAATTATAACGTATACAATGCCCCTTAATCAGACTGTAGGCAGATGGATGCTCGTGGATTTAAATTTAAGCAGTCTTTGAGGGAAGACGTATTATACATTGGAGATAAATTATAGTATACAAAGGTAATTGCTGCATTTAATATTATTAATTTGGGGAGTATAAGTATCATTGGAGGAGCAATATATTTTCCAAGGCCTATTGCCCCAAGCTGTAAATGCCATTACTGTGCTTTTACAGGTAGGTAAATCCAAGTATGGCATTCTTCTTCTTTAGTGCTGCCTAACGGCGTGTGCGACTTCACGATGATATTGGTCCCGGTCTAGCACGGCGTGTAGAGTTTGTGCTGTTGTTAATTGTAGCCATGTTTTGATGTTACTAAGCCATGTCGTTTTTGGCCGTCCTGGTCGTTTTTTCCCTTCGATTTTTCCTTCCAGGATTTGCTTTAATAGCTGGTATTTGTGGTCGTTTCGGGCAATGTGGCCTAGGTAGTAACACTTCCTGCTAATGATGGTCTTCAGCAGTTGCCTGTCAGTGCCCATATCTTGCATAACTTGTGTATTGGTGGTTTTGGCTGTCCATGGGATTTTCAGCATTCTTCGATACAGCCACATCTCGAAAGCTTCGAGCCTTTTTGTTGCTGTTGTTGTCAGTGTCCACGTCTCTACTCCGTACAGCAAAATTGACCAGATGTAGCATTTCAGTGTGCGCAGTTTCAGTGATGTACTCAAGTTGCGGTCTGCAAGGAGTGTTTTCCATTTAATAAATGCTTGCCTTGCTTGTTCAATTCTGCTCTTGATTTCGACTTCATGGTTCAACTGATCGTCAATGATTACACCAAGGTATTTAAATCAGTGTACTTGTTCCAATTTTTCGCTGCCCAGCTTGATTGTTATTTCGCTTGTAGTTCGGCTGACCTTCATAACCTTTGTTTTCTTTTTATTAATTCGTAAGCCCCATATCGGACTCTCTGTGGCAACCTCGTCCAAGATTTGTTGTAGGTCTTGTTCTGAATCGGCCAGCAGTGCAGTGTCGTCAGCATACCTGATGTTGTTGATGTATTGTCCATTGACTTTAATACCAATGTTTTTATCTGCTAGTGTTCGATCAAAAATCTGCTCCGAGTAGATGTTGAAAAGACTGGGTGAAAGTGGGCAGCCCTGTCGTACACCTTTTTGTATTGGTGTTGGGTCTGTCAATTCGTTGTCATATCGGAGTTGGGCTGTTTGCTTCCAATAAAGAGCAATGATGAAGTTGATGTCGTCTTTATCTAGTCCCAGTTGTTTTAATAGAGCTGCTAGTCGGTCGTGGTCGACTGAGTCAAAGGCTTTCTCGTAAACTATGAAGCAGATGTACACTTCTTTCTGATGTTCGTAGCATCGCTGTAGTAGTATCTGTAGACAGAAGATTGCTTCTCTTGTGCCTAGTCCTTTACAGAAGCCAAACTGTGTGTTCTTCAATGCATTTTCGCATGTGGAGCGTATGCGCTGTTGGATCACCTTCAGGAAGACTTTCAGCACGTGGCTCATCAAGCTTATCAGTCTGTAGTCCTCGCATTTCCGGCTTGTTGCTTTCTTTGGTATGGCCACAAAGATGGATTGTAGCCAGTCGGATGGAATTTTATTGCCATTGTATATTTGATTGTACCAATTAGTCAGTTGTCGTATGTTGTTGCTGTCTAATAGTTTGAGCAATTCTACATGGATTGTGTCGGGCCCGCACGATTTGCCTGACTTAGCTGTTTTGATTGCATGTTCTACTTCTGATGTTAAAATGTGTAGAGCGTCTTTCGACATCTGTTGGTCTTTTTCTGCAGGTGTTCTCGTGGCGCCATAGAGCTTGTGTATATAGTTTGTCCAGGTGTCCATTTTTTCTTGTTTATTTAGGATTGGTTGGTTATTGTCCGCATACAAGGTAGCTGTTGGGGCTGGTCTGTAGATGTTACCAGCTTCTTTGAGCTTCTTGTGCAGAGTAAAATTGTCATGTTTTTTAATTAGTTCTTCAATCTTGGCGCATTGTTCTTCCATCCACTTTTCTTTTGCCTGTCGGATTGCTTCTCTGATCTTCTGTTGCATTTGTTTGTACTTCTCCAAGTCGTTATTTTTGTACATTCTTCGTTTGCTCATTAAATCGAGAATATAATGTGTCATCCATCGTTGTTTCTTTTTCGGTGGCTGATGTCCCAGCATGACTTCTGTTGTTTCTGTGATGCATTGTTTGAACGAGCGCCAGTACTCCTGAACATCTGCTGTTTCTGTTGTTATTGAGCGGATGCTATCGTTGAGATGTTGCTGTACTTGTCTTTTATCGGCGCTGTTCTTCAGTTTCTCCAGGTCTGCTCGTCTCGTCTTTGTACATTGTATTGATCGCAATTTGAGTCTTATTGTAGCTGTTACTGGGTTATGATCTGACGATATATCGGCTCCAGGGTAGGTTTTTGCTGTAATCACACTGGACTTAAACCTGATGTTAATTAGGATATAATCGAATTGGTTCCTGACGATGTTGTTGTCGGAGTCTTGCGGCGAGGTCCACGTGTACAGTCGTCGAGGTGGTAATTGGAACCACGTGTTAGCAATACTGAAACGTTCTTCTTGGCAGAATTGAACCAGTCTGTCGCCTCGTTCATTCCTTGTTCCTAGTCCGTGTTCTCCGACAATGTTCTGCATTCGACCGTGGCCAACCTTGGCGTTGAAGTCGCCGAGGATTATAGTGATGTCTTGCTTCTTCAGCGGCTTCAGCGTGTTGGTTAGTTGCTCATAGAACGATTCGATTTCATGATCTTGTTTATCTGCTGTTGGAGCATAAACCTGTAGAATGTTCACGTTGACTTTGTTGCCTGCTAATTGTAGTAGTGCTATTCGTTCTGATACTGGGGTAAAGTTGTTGACTTTATTCGCTAATTTCTTGTGTACTATAAAGGCGACACCGTATGTTTGTTTGGTGTTTTCTTCTCCTCCGGAGCAGAAGATGTGGTGTTCGCTTGATATAAACTTTTTTGTTCCAGGCCATTTAGTTTCGCTTAGACCGATTATGTTGATTTTAAGTCGATCCATTTCTTGTATGACATTGGCTAGTTTCCCTGCTTGAAGTAAACTTCTAACGTTCCAAGTTGCTACTTTGGAAGGGTTCTTTGACACAAGCTCGGAGATTCTTAGCACCCCTGTCCTATTTAAAGGACGCCGATACTCAGGGCCTTTGTTGATTTTGCTTGTCATCATTGAAGTTTTCAAGGGAGAAATAATCCAAGTAGTTTCCCGTTGCTTTCTTGGATCACAATTTATTTGAAAAGGTCATGTGGGGACCTTTCGAAACGGGTTTTGTCTGACGTCTCCACTGAAGTCTTCCCTCCTTGGGTGACCCTTCTGAGAGCACTAGGCTCTCAACGGTATAGCGATCAGCTTCTCAGACGTACACAAACTCTCTCGCCGCATTAAGGCACCGTTTCTCGAGAGAGAAGTATGGCATTAAGTTGTCTAAATCATATTTTGAAATATTGTCACATTAGGGGATAGATAATTAATCAGGGCTTGTGTTGTGCTTCATCAAGTAAAAAAAAAACATGCAATGACACTATCTCTTTGCATTTGAATCGTCATGTATTTGATAATATCTAATCTGTAAATCTCAATATAACGGGGTTATATCATGTTGTCAGAATATAAACGCAGCAATAGCTGTGTATAAGGGGTGTTTTTCCAATTTTAGGATTAACATGAACAATCCAAAACTGTCCGTGGGAAACAACATTTAAGGCAAGTGACACCAAGGCATTACGTAACGCTAATTATACGTTTTTGCAAGTGACGTAAATTATTTTATCACACTGACAAACAAGTGGCCGTATATGGGTACGCGAGTGTGTGTGCATGCATGGATGTGTTTGTGTGAGTGCAAAACAACCCCCATCTCTTTGTGGTGCTGGCAGATGCTACCACTGTGGTGTGTTGTGAGCAATGCCAGCTGACTACCCTCATGGTTCACCCATGTCTTATATTAAGTAACTGAGAACCACGCAAAGAAAAATAATGATATCCCAAAAGACCTGAGGGATCAGGAGACCCACATCTATGTAAAGATGCAGAACTATCCCAATTGCTGGCAAACGTGGCCACTTGTGACAGTCAGCAAATTCCTTCGTGTGCCATGTTGGCCTTCATAGGTGCTCGCTAACAGCACTTCTCCAACAGCCTGTAAAAGCTATATTGGGATCTTTGTCTGTGAGTGCAGAAGTGAGAGCTTCACGCCACCGACTATGGAAACGTTAAAGCTGGGCATGTATGGTGCATGCCTGTGATTCATCGCTTTGGGTCACACACATTGCCCTGAAACACCCAGATGTGCAAGGCTGAAAAGTGGTAGAGAACAAATGGCAACAAAGCAAGTGGGTTCGTAGAAGGCTTGTGTGGACCTTTATGTATATTTTGCTCTTAAGCAAGGTGAGATTTTTCTAGAGACTTCAGTTTCCTGCAACACTAAGAAAATAACTCCTTTCGATTTAAAGCTTTCGTGACTGCAGGGATTCATCTTCTTGGTTCTTTCGGTAAAGTCACGTAGAAGGGAAGTAATAAAATAATAAAAATAAAACATAATAAAATAATTGCGTTGTAGCCGAAACGTCGTGAGAATTATTTTATTATGTTTAATTTTTATTATTTTATTACTTCCCTTCTACGTGACTTTACCGAAAGAACCAAGAAGAAAAATAACTCCTTATTAAAATTAAATCACCCAAACATCACAATGCAGGGCCCTTCTTAAAAACAATTCCTGAGTCTCGGTGGGGCTTCCCTGGATTAGGTAAATATTATTATTTTTTAATTCCTAAAAAAATCTAATGGAAAAAGAAAGGTCAAATGATTAAAATGTAAAATGTTGAATAATGCAAAAGGAAAATAAAAACAATTTGGGCCCAAAACATCTAATTCAAAATCCAACATTTAAAATATGAATTATTAACCCAATTTGTACTCCCAATCTGAATTGTAATCATATGTTTCTGCAGCTGGCGACTAATGACATACAGGTATCCCTCGATTTACCAAAGGGATGTGTTCTTCCAAAAACACAGCGTAAAACGAAATTTCGTAAATTGGAACAGCTTTTTCCATTAATTTAATGTACAGAATTATGGATGTGTTTTGTACAGTCATTCCAACTCTACTCCTAACCTAAACTATATATACCTAAATCACTTTTCACAATACAAAAATAACAATCAAGAACATAAGTATAAACACGAATAAATAATAACAAAATTAAACTAAAATAATTAATTTTTTCAGGGAACTCACCAAATGATCTGCATTGTGGAATGACTGGAAAGGTGATATGGAGGAGTGACTGTTGCACTCTAGGGATACCGTGACTTGTGTTGTGGATGGATGATGCAGCATTCAAGGTGGTTCTTGTTTGATCTCGTGGCATGTGCCGTGTGGAATTTTGTTCATGGGGAAATTCGATTTCGTTAATCGAGAAGTGTCCATAATTTGTAAATTTCGTGAACGCAAAATTTCATAAACTGAACGTTCTTAAATCGAGGGATACCTGTCACCCAACCTAACTGGCTGCAAATGTGGCAGTCCCTAATGCTGGCTTGACAGGGTAGTGACTAAATAAAACAAGTATAACTTAGACATTACAAATATGAAGGACCAGACATTGGAAGAATGTAAATGCTGCATCTATAAACTGGGCATTATATAGTGACTGCATTGTGAGTACCGAACTAATCAAACCCATTCTACATGTTGCAGTGTTCCTCTCCCTCCGCTTCACTCTCACGAGTCCCAATCCTCACTCTCTCCCCTGGGATGTCTCCCTCACCCCGATTGTTTGACTTTCCCCATCGTGTCACCTCACTTCTACGAGAGGTGGAAGCAACAGGACGCAACTGTTGCACATCACACTTCTAAAAGCACCTTTTGATTCGAATAAACCCAGGAAGGTAAAGCTTTAAAATAAACATACAATCACTAGGTCTTCACCATTTACCGTTATTTTTAGTGCCCTGCATGCTGCACACTTGGTGAAAGACATTGTGACACAACAGTAAAGCAAGATTTTACCTTACTGGGGTCTTTAGATTTGCCACTTTGACCTTTGCATGCCTAGTGATATCACGAGGTGCACTTTCCAAAGCAGGATAACAAAACAGTTACGTTTTGAGCATCTGCAGATGCTGTTTCCTTGAAATAGTACATCTGAAATAATTGTTGTCAGTTACATATAAACATAATTATAGTTTGTACTCGAAACAGAAATATACAAAACACAGTATTAACTTAACACAACCACTGTATGAGCATCCACTGACACCGCACCTTCTTCCTCCAGAGGCCCACGCGGCGGTGCAGGGGCATGTCCTGGCTCCTGGCCACCACCTCCATTTCGGCACGAGTGCCAGCTGTGTGAGTAGTGCTCTTAGTGAGTCACAGCATGGGCGTGCGCTCTGCTGCACACTCCATTCAATCACACTTCTCACGGTGAGCAGCCTGAATACATGTTACTTTCCTATTACTGAATAGGCATTAGCACGTTACATCAGCTTATTTAAGGGGGACTTAGTTGTTGCTTTATAATCTATACTAAGATGTCAAAGGTTTCCATCTTTTAAATTAAAGTCACTGTAATATGGGTCTACATTACAATAATAATGAATAGACCTTAACGTGCATTTTCCTAGGACTTCAGTTTCATACAACACGAAGTAAATAAAAATAGAACCATAATTAAAATGAAATTGCCCAAACATCCTAATGCAAGACCCTTTAAACAAAATGTTTGGAGATTCAGTGAGACTAGTCTCAATTTTTTTGTACTAAAACAACAGTGAAAAATGAAAGGTCTATCCTACCACAAATGCATTTTTTAGGTGGGATAGTTGCCCAGGGTATGACAGTCAACTGTGTAACTGCATCATGTGCCGGTGTAAACTAAAAGACTGTGCAGGAGGCAAGGGGAAACACCTCCACACTCGTTTTCTCGTCTTGGCTCAAAAAGCCGAGTACAGGAATGGGATCGGATGGGAAGGTGAGAGCTTGAGTCAAAGCTGCAATAAGCAGGCTTACTGCTCTCCAGAGGCATATTTACTCCCTAAAAATGTAAGTCATCATGGATTTGAGGGTGATGGCAAGTTGCATAAATACTTGAAACCATAGGTAAATTATTATTTATTTTACAATATAGACTATCCTGGAATTAACAGAGCCAACCTCATACAATATATATAGATTTTTAATAGTATTAGGTAATATTCACTATCAAAAGGAAAGGAAATGTGTGCATATCTATGGGACCTTTTTTCAAGATCAAAATTATTAAATAAAAGAATAGGCTTTACCCTGTCTGGAAATAGATGTTCAAACACCAAATAGATACCTATTGCAAGACATCAAGTCTGGATTAACCACATACACTTGTGGTAAAACATGCCAACACACAAGCTCTGATTTTTTATGCATTATCTTTGTAACTGATTTGCCTACACCAAACAGCCTTCTCTATGGCCTTGTCTCACCAGTGTTAGACCAGAGAATGTCAAAAGGCGAAGAGATTAAAGGAAATGCAAGTATAAAAGTATCATATTCTTTGGGTCTGTCGGTAAAGTCACGTGGATAGGTTCAAAGAAAATAACAAAAAACTACGACGTTTCGATCGCAACACAAGCGGTCGTCATCAGGAAGACATCAGGAAGACGACCGCTTGTGTTGCGGTTGAAATGTCATAGTTTTTTGTTATTTTCTTTGAACCTATCTACGTAACTTTACCGAAAGACTCAAAGAATTTGAATTCCTGCAGTCACGAAAGCTTTACGTCAAGATTTATCAAAGTATGAATAGCTCGGGTTGAGCAGTTATATCTATGGGACCATTTGTCAGAATCAAAATGGTGAAAAAAAGAATAGTCTTTACCCTTTATGTTTGAACACATTAACCCCTGTTTTATTGCCAGAAAGGGTAGAGTCAATTTAAAAAATTCCACAATTTGTAAAACAGGTTTTGCTCTTCTTTTACTCTAAAGACTGCCGATTGACAACAAGAAGCAGGACTTTATGATTTGCACAAAACTAACAAATATTTCTCACTGAGAACAAAACAAGAGGCATCTTCAAAGAATATTCAGATATTCTTGGTGTTATAATTAAGTCACCTGCATCTGGGTCTGCTATTATATATATATTTTATCAAAATATTCAGTAGTCCTCCTATATAGAGCCAGCCAGCGGCTTGCAATCGGAAAGTTACAAGTTCAAATCCTGGGTGATGGATGACTCGGCCCATTATCTTTCCAGTTAATAAATGAGGTACCATTTTGTGGAGAAGTCAAGGGTGGTTGTGCTAGGGAATTAAGGATGTCCACCACTGGCTAAGAGCTGTAAACTGGAGATGAGCACCACATCAATGCTCATTTTAGCAGCAACTCAGTGACCTATTTGATCTATAAAACACAGACATACGCATTGCTTTTTTGGACTAACTCAGACAGCACTGAATAGCCTCCAGTTGGTATAAATATTATGCAAAATAATTTCAAACTGCTCTCTCAAGTAGTCACGCTGCATTGAAAACTCTTGGAAAGGGGTAGCGTAATTTATTTAAAATACATCTTTAATTGTCCCAGATGACAATGATCAAACCTTCGCCTTAAAATTAATTATGAGTAATGCACCTGGAGCAGAGGGTCTCTCCAACGGTGGTGAAGGCGTCTGAGCTGCCACCTCGTATCCGTACAGCTTCTGCACCTTGGCCACGTCGCAGGGGCTCAGGGAATTGCCATGCCCCATGTGCAGCATGAGGAGCGGGTTCTTGGGGATGATGGTCGGGTTGCGCTCATCCACCGAGCCCGCCGTCCTGAACACGAACAAACACAGGTACTCATATATGTGTAGCGCTAAGTACAGTAGAATGAGGAAATATGGGTGTAGAGGCAAGCACACAATGCAGTACCACACAGTGGGTCACTAGGGTGCGTGGTACTGGGTGCTTGCAGAGAGAGGCTGATGGGTCCTACCGACAAGAGTAGGGGATAGCAGCCACTCTGCCAGTACAGCGAGTGAATGCCACGTGATTGGTCACTGGGGAGCGTGGTGCGGGCTGCTGGCAGAAGGGGGCATATGAGGACGAGTCACCCCGGCCTCGGGTGAAGCAACATGATGGGTCAGGGTGAGGAATGTGGGGCCAAGGTGACCAAGGGAACACGGGAAGTGTAGCCGGGAATCTTCTGGATAGTTCCTGAAGGGGGCGTGGTTAAAGGCGGAGTTAGGCCGCGCCAGACTGTATACTTGTGTGTATTAGGGTCACTGAATGTGTTACGAGGTGCGTGAATGCCCATCCTTGTCAGCCAAATATAACATAGTTTCTAATATTAGACAAACTTGTTGATAAGCTAATAGACAAAGTCCGAGATTCAGGTTGAGCAGAACACCAGGTTGATGGCAATCACAGAAACAATGGGTGTGAGGCTCTGGTGAAGGGGTTTGGTAGAGTTTTCCATTTATGATAGTGAGTGAGTCTCCAGTTAAATAGTGAATGGAAAAGCAAGCAATTTAAGCGAGCGGAAGTTAGGCTCTTATTAAATAGAATAACAAAAGCATACAAGGTGAATCAATGGTTATGAAGTTTCAATTACTAATTAGGCAGGGGGACTGTCATTGGGCAAATGGATAAGGGGCATCACTGTATAAGCAGCATGGGGAAGGGGACTCAGAGTGAGCGACTGAAGGGTGTGGAGAGACTGCATTCAGATTGGCAGCTCAATTCAGGGAGGGGATCCAGCATCAGATTGAGGAGTGCAACATCGGGGCTGGCGGAGTCTGGTCATTAGGTGGGTGTGGAATTTGATGGCATATTACGGTTTATATAGCAGAACAATCCATACATACAAAGACATGCATGTGCACAGTGAAAGTATGGATTATGCGTGCAATGCAAGAGCACTATTGTGTGGGCGCAGATGTAAATGTGGATGTGCGGTGGTGCGCTTATGTGCGGGTGCATACATACATGCTGTAGTGAAGAATGGAGTTGTAGTCATAAGGCGCTGACAAATCCTGAGGATTTGATTCCATTTTCACCATTTGGCATTTCCATTCTGAAAAAGAACACATTTTGCCAACGACAACCTGACCATCAACCAAGACCTCAACAATGTTCCTCACCACAGACTCAAGTCCCGATGCCCCTTCCAGGATCACGATGTCACCAAATTAGAATCTCACCCAGAACCAGACGGAAGCTGGTGAACAGAGAGGATCAACGTGGACTTCCACAATAAACACCTAATTCGAGACCCAAACATCGCACTTTCTGGCTTTGACATTGCTCGAAGACACATGTATTATTGACTACATCAGGACATCAACAGTCCGGCGTACACGTATCCTTTATAAATGGAGAGCGAATGACAAGCCAGAATGTGATTGAAGCCATGCAACCAAAACTATGGACCATATAGGAAACCACTGCAGTCTGCACTCCTACAAGGGAGGAATAGCAAAACTACACAAACTTTCTCCTGAAGTGCTCTCAGGGCTGGTAGCCCTTGACATTGGTATTTAGCTCCTGAACAAATTGCTATACACAATAATAAAACAGAACTGAGTGTGTGCACACTTGTGCTATATACCGGGCTTGACGTTGTCACTCAGAACAAAGACGTGGTCATCGCGGTCGCTGCGGCAGTGTTCGTGGTGGAAGCCGAGCGCATGCATGAACTCGTGCAGAACGACACCCTTGGTCACCTTTCCGGGCTCTAGAGACAGCGGCTGCCCCCCCCCCTGCTTCCCCAGCAGTGACCAGCTCTTACTTAGAGGCCTGAAACATGGAAAATCACGTTACCTCGTTATTGATATGAGCAACATTGGCTTGAATGTGTCAACATGTTTAGTTACAAGAGTCTGCGTGAAGAATCTACTCGTTGAAATAAGCTAATCCGAGTTATATGGGAAAATATGTAGCAATACAAGGGTTTCAGATGATGCAATTATGCACCGCAATAAGTTCAAAATAGAGACATTTCCAGCCACTTTATAATCGATGAAACAACGATCTGTCTCACGAAGGAAACATATCATAACATCTTCTTGGTTCTTTCGGTAAAGTCACGTAGAATGGAAATAACAAAATAAAACATAATAAAATAATTCTCATGACGTTTCGGCCACAACGCAAGTAGCCGTCCTCAGGTGAAGACCAGGTCTGTCGGGGAGACAGCGTCTGAATGAAACAGCACCATGCTTGGAGCGTATATTTAAGCTGGGTTGGAAGGGGGGGAAGGGCGCCTTGACAAAATAATTTGCATATCAAGAGGAATTTAGCATATTTATGGGATATGCAGGTATGTGATTAGTACTACTTATGCCCGTGCATTATGCAGGATTAGCAGCATCAAAGGGAGGGGATATGGGAAATGCAGGTATGTGATTAGTACTACTTATGCCCGTGCATTATGCAGGATTAGCAGCATCAAAAGGAGGGGATAGGGGTAGCATTAATAAAGGGAAGAAGTGTTAATAGTATGTAGCTGCAGTAACTAAAACCACCACGTAAACAACTAAAGTATAAACTACATAGTATCATCAGTATACTAAATATACTCTACAATAAGCTGAGTTACTAACAGTAAGTAATACATTACAATTCTACGTCGCAAAAAATATAATATGCTTCCATCTAAACTTTAGTCTCTTACATCACGAGTCTACACCGTACTATATACTGCCATAGACAAACCCAACATTAAATTATATACTGTATTGCTATAAACCACCCTATACCTTATACATTGTAATATTACACTATATATTATTCTACCCACCCTAATGTATATCACACTGCTGTATATTCACTATACAATTACGATACTATATGTTACTCTGCACATTGTATTAAGCATATAAATTTTATACTATTTGTTATTATACACTGTACCATTGACCGTCGTGTGAAAGATACTAAGAGGAAGCAACAAAATATGTCAATGGGAGAGTAGTGTGGGAGGAAACTTGCAGCGGAGCAAATAATCCATTCCCTGCGGAGAATACAATGCCAGTGAGTGGAACGCGGTCTGAAAGTCACCGTAAACGTGAACACAATCAGTTAAGATCCGAAATGGTTAATTACTAAGCCAGAATCCATCTTCTCGGTTTAAATTGTCTCTGTGTTTGTATATGTGGATCGCCTCATGAACGAATCTCTCATGGTAGCCAGATGGCTTGCAGAGAACCTCTATCATGTGAGCCCACTGAATTGTAACAGTGATCTGCCACGGCTGAGGTGTTTGTCCTATCAAGTTTCAAGTCTGCTTTATGTTCACAGATGCGGTCCGAGACATGTTGTTTGGTTTCTCCAATGTAACTGCTACCACAGAGGCAACTTAGTTTGTAGACGCCAGGGTACTGTATGTCTGGAACCACATCTTTTACAGACGGGACCAGATAGCGGATTTTGTGTACTGTGCTGAATTGGACCTGGATCTTGTGTTTTATCAGGATTTTGGAGATCTTTTTTGTGACCCCAGCAGTGTAGGGTAAGGTGATGGTCTTGAAAGGCTCCTCAACAGGATCCTTCTTGATGGTTAGAGTGATGGCTTTGCGGATTGTGTAGTCGGAGTAACCATTAGCCTTAAGAGCTTGGCGTACGTGTTTGAGTTCAATAGGATTGTGTTCCTGGTCGGAGATGCATTGGGCTCTATGGTATAGAGTCTTGATGAGGGAATTCTTCTGGGATGGATGGTGGTGGGAATCCGGTTTTAGGTAAGCATCCGTATGGGTGGCTTTCCTGTAGACAGAGTGGCTCATTGAACCATAGGGTCTCCTTTTAATTAGGACATCCAAAAAGGGTAGCTTGCCATCTTTTTCGACTTCCATGGTGAATCTGATGGCTGGGTGTATGGAATTGATGTGGTCGAGAAATTAGTCTAGAACAGGCCGGCCATGTGGCCAGATGACAAAAGTGTCATCTACGTACCTCTTCCATAAGGTCGGGCGTAGAGTTGCAGTCTGGATGGCGTCAGTCTCAAAATTCTCCATGAAAACGTTGGCTCCAACCGGAGATAGGGGGGAGCCCATTGGGGTGCCCTCAGTTTGTTTGTAGAAAGTTCCATTCCAGGTGAAGTATGTATTTGTTAAGCAGTGTCTCACCAGGGGGGGTACCCCAGTATTCAGTCCTTGATGAACCAAGCCTTCAATGATTGCGATGGTGTCAGGTACAGGAACTTGGTGAATAAGGAAACCACATCAAAACTGACAAGCAGGTCATCTGGGGACAGGGAAATTCCCTTGATTGTCGATTCCAGGTCAGTAGAGTTTATTACCGCAGAGGTGGTTTTTCCAGTGAAAGGCCGTAGGATTTCAGACAAAAAACGAGCCAGTTTGTAGGTGGGGGAGTTGATAGTAGAGACAATGAGACGAAGAGGTGTATCTTCTTTATGTATCTTTGGCAAGCCGTATAATCTCGGTGGCCTGGCTGCAGAAGGTTTGAACGAGAACTGTTTGGTTTGATCAATTAATGCGGTTGAATCAGAAATTATTTTGTTGGTTTTAGTGACGAGGCTGTTGGTGGGGTCTCTTTTTATTTTTGTATAGCTGCCATCGTTGAGTAGTTCTTGAATTTTGTTGTTGTATTCTATTTTGTCCATGATGACAGTGGCATTGCCTTTGTCGGCTGAGAGTATGACAATGTCATCCCTTTTTTTAAATCCTTTATATTAAGTTCGCTTGCTTGCTTAGGACCGTGCAAATCTTTCGGTCGTTTTTTAACCCACTTCCCGTGATCCAATCGAGCTGACATTTTGCACACAGACTCGTTGTGCGTGACAATTAATGTTCGTGAATTTTTTTTTCCAAAATTTAACACTTTTTAGGACAAAAATATTATATTTAATTACCAATTGCTTAATGGTGCAATGCAATCATCTGACCCATAGGTGGCAGCCATCTCAAGCCAGAGGACGAGAGGACTCTAGCCGCCACGCATATAAAGGATTTATAGTGAAAAACTTTGTTTTTACGGGTTATACTTGTTTAATTGAGCTAATTCAAAACGCTCATCTTTGCTGATGTTGCTAGCTGGCATCTTAGCGTTTTTTGCTTGCGTTGTGGCCGAAACGTCGTGAGAATTATTTTATTATGTTTTATTTTTATTATTGTATTACTTCCAGAGGCGTAGCTAGGATATTTTGCGCCCGTGGACGAACTATAAAATTGGCGCCCATCCCCCGTTTAATCATATACCAAAATGTAATTACATGACATGTAGGCTGTATGTGGCGGGATATATAAATTTTTAGGTTGAGGTGTAGATGTGTGCAGTAGTTTCAGGCTGCCGCGCCCGCCGCAATAAGTTATAATGTAACGTTGTAAGCCTCATTTTGGCGCCCCTTTACCTTGGTGCCCGGGGACATATGTACCCCCCTGCCCCCCCCTAGCTACGCCTCTGATTACTTCCCTTCTACGTGACTTTACTATCAGAGTATTGTTTTTTGTTTGCATTTGACTGCAAGTATTGTGGTTAATGTAAGCATGATTCCTTCCAAAGGTATCAGTTTTGTTGCCAGAAAAAAATGGGGAAAAACCCTATTAGTATATTTTGGTACTGGCAAAGGAGGTCCCATGATAATTACGACTTTGTTAACGTCTAGCTTTTCAATGTGTGGGTCCGGTCTCTTGTTTGAGAGGCGGTTGAATTTGGAAATCAAATTGTCCTTACATAAAATTATAATGCTTAATACAATGTACAAAGTAATATATAGTATCGTAATTGTATAGTGAATATACAGCAGTGTGATATACATTAGGGTGGGTAGAATAATGCATAGTGTAATATTACAATCTATAAGGTTTGGGGTGGGTTATAGCAATACAGTATATAATTTAATGTTGGGTTTGTCTATGGCAGTATATAGTACGATGTAGACTCGTGTGATGTAAGAGAATAACGTTTAGATGGAAGCATATTATATTTTTTGCGACGTAGAATTGTAATGTATTACTTACTGTTAGTAACTCAGCTTATTGTAGAGTATATTTAGTATACTGATGATACTATGTAGTTTATACTTTAGTTGTTTACGTGGTGGTTTTAGTTACTGCAGCTATATACTATTAACACTTCTTCCCTTTATTAATGCTACCCCTATCCCCTCCCTTTGATGCTGCTAATCCTGCATAATGCACGGGCATAAGTAGTACTAATCACATACCTGCATTTCCCATATCCCCTACCTTTGATGCTGCTAATCCTGCATAATGCACGGGCATAAGTAGTACTAATCACATACCTGCATTTTCCATAAATATGCTAAATTTCTCTTGATATGCAAATTATTTTGTCAAGGCGCCCTTCCCCCCCTTCCAACCCAGCTTAAATATATGCTCCAAGCATGGTGCTGTTTCATTCAGACGCTGTCTCCCCGACAGACCTGGTCTTCACCTGAGGACGGCTACTTGCGTTGTGGCTGAAACGTCGTGAGAATTATTTTATTATGCTTTATTTTGTTATTTTATTATTTCCATTCTACGTGACTTTACCGAAAGAACCAAGAAGATGAATCCCTGCAGTCACGAAAGCTTTAAATCGAAAAATATCATAACATGTTTTTGGTCTATCAGCCAACGGGATTTTTGTACTAATGCTCCCATCAGCATTTTCATGCGCATTCTGGAATGGTTTTGGGTTCATCATCTCATCAACAGGGTGGGGCCTGTTAAACAAATGTTACCAAGTTTACTGATGTGATGATAAACATGAGTTCTCTGCAAAACTGTGGTTCCCATTCAGTGAAGTATAAACATTTTACATGTCTTATTGTTTAACGGTGCATTGTGTACAAGGCTGTCAATGATGATATCAGACCATCTAGCAACATTTGTTCAGAATGCCACACTGCTGATGAGACTCAGGATGTTGCATCTGCCTGCCTAAACTCTTGCTGCTCTAAAATATTTGTCTAGAAGCTCATAGGCTGATGGATTAAAGTGTAATTTTACTTTATTTAAAGTAGTATTTTAGACCATGATCTATTGTTATAATACAAATGAAAACACTTAATATATCCCATGCATAAGATGTTTAATGCACGATCAAGTCCACTATTACGTTTCCCTGTCATATTCTGGGAACGTTTTATAAATGATATATTGATATTTTCATTACATAACTGAAATTTACATTAATTCCTATCAGGCCACATGGTGTATAGTACGGTCTCCAACTTGTATTCACCCTATCCCTCTGGCCTCTCTATATGCCATAAGTCACCCATTATATAGTTTTCAAATAAGGCAGTGTTATTCATGAATGTGTTCTTGTGCGCCACTACTAATACAGGATCACCAAATAATATAAATTTCCACCCAACATTACATAGTATAAGTTGAATATTTTAGTTTATACTTTTGACCATGTGGAATATATTTCATCACCTTGTAAGTAGCAGAACAAGAACAATGACTTGGACATGACTGCCTCGAATCTCGTGTATTCATGATGAGTTTTTTACAGACCAGAGGCAAGCTGGGTCTTCAGCTAGGCCAGAACTGAACGAACTGGGCAGGGTGTCGTCTATCCTGCTTTGACCCTGGTGCCCCTGGCTCCTAACACCCTTCAGATAAAAGCCTCCCTCAAGTGACTGACGCGACTCTGCGACCAACCCAAGCAAGGATCTCGGTGAAGTCGCAGGGTGGCGATTAGGATGCGGTCGTTGAACAAAAACTCTGACAAAAACGTAATGTTCGTGCTGCTCAACCTGGGATACTTTGAGCACAAGTAGATATGTTTCTAAGTTTTCACATGTTATAAAAAATACACCTACCCAGTGAGGTGAGTGATCTATCCCAGCATGTGCTGCTTACTGCAACGGGTAGGGCTAGGTCTTGGGTCAGCTCAGCTTAGCAAAGCCGCGTGATATCAACCCGGGAGCACGGTCATCGTAAATCCAAGCCGACAAGGCTCTTGGCTGTCTCTGAATACCGAACATGCTTAGCTCACAGGTTAAATGATGGCTGAGAGTGTAGAGGAGAATGGATGTGATTTCCTGTTTATCCTATACTTGTGGTATTGTTTTAAATGCTGAATGTGAGCAACCCTCACCCATCCAGTGCTTGGATGTGAATGAAGTCCTTCTCCATGCTGTACATTTTGAAATGGACACAGGTCTTGTTCCCAAACTCCTGCAATGCCCGAGTGATGGTCTCCACATCACAGTCATCTGCCAGAAAGCACAATACTTAATAATTTACATGTGTTTACATGTTTGACCTTTCCAGTGCATGCAGTTGTATGTATGTTGAACTTCTTTTGCGTCGTATGTAGCCAACAGGTTTTTAGCCTCTGTGTTACAGTGTGACAAAAACTTAAAAAGTCCATAACCACTTACTATAAAACCTACATCACCACACACAAGTAGAAATTTACATGCAGTTTGTGTTTTGTCAATACAACTACAATTCAAATTACATTAAAACTACAAATGCAAACATGATATATGCTTGGAAAAGCATCAGTATTCACTATAAAATGTAAAGAAACAGAGGTTTAAGGAAATATTTTTAAAAACAGCACATATGCTGGTTACAATGCAGGTCCTGGAACACCTCTGACGATTCTGTAACTCAGCACTGACACAGAGGGCATGTTGATGCCTATTCCTCAATGGCATGTACTGTCAACAGCAATTCATTAGACCAAATATAATAACACAAATGGGAGTTATTAACTATTCTTAGGGTGGTAATATGTATATGAAGTGTAATATTTCGATTTAAAGCTTTCGTGACTGCAGGGATTCATCTTCTTGGTTCTTTCGGTAAAGTCACGTAGAAGGGAAGTAATAAAATAATAAAAATAATAAAAACAAAACATAATAAAATAATTCTCACGACGTTTCGGCCACAACGCAAGCAGCCATCCTGGCTCCACTATCTCCTTTGTTGCACCAAAATAAGTAATTTAAAAGCAAGAATTGTACTTCCTGATGTTGGTCAGAAAGTGTTTAGACCCTGGGGTATGGCCAGATACCAAGGATTTCAGTGGCTCAGGGGGGGTCTGCATAAGGCAAAGTTTGACTTTTCCATCACTGCAGCACATTGCCTTGGATTCTCCTTTCCACTTTTTAGCACCACATTCTTCACAAGTAATTGACATAGAGTCTAATATCACCATGGACTGATAATTATCGATCTCAGGTTGGTAATCTAAAGCTGCTCTGTTCCAGTACGGGTAATTTCTTCTTGTTCTTGATGCAGCAGCATAACGGACTTGCCTCTTGCGCACCATTTTTTATGTTGTGGTTCCTCAGTCCGTGCTGCTTCAGTGACTGTGTGTTCCCTGGCTTGTCGAGATGCAGAATGTTCAGCGTGTTCTTCAACCCGTGCTGCTGCAGTGACTCTGTGGTCCTTGGCTTGTCGAAATGCACGATATTCAGGGTTTTTTTCAGCTCATGCTGCTGCAGTGGCTATGCAGTCTGTAGCTTGTCTCCATGCACTCTGTTTAGGATTTACCTCAGCGTGTGCTTCTGCAGAAGTAACTATGCAGTCTGTAGCTTGTCTCCATGCACGCTGTTCAGGATTTACCTCATCTTGGGCGGCTGCAGTTGCTGTGCAGTCTCTGGCTTGTCTCCGTGCATGCTGATTTTCAGTTTCCTCAGCCGGTGCTGCTGAGGTGCCTTCGTTATTTGTCCCGCACTATTTGTTTTATGCGCCACAGCGCCACTCTCTTTGTGTTTGTTTTCATCTTGGAGAGGCTTAATTTTTTTCTGTTTGACATTTTTAACGCGAAGAAGAACCTCCATCCCACGCCAAGCTTGTTTGCGTTGCTAGGGGCTACCGCGAGTCGGCGTTTACGCACATATGCAGATGCGTGCTTTTTTTGGCGCACTCAAAGTTATCATTACGATCAGCATGAATTGTTACAAAGTGTAATTTTCTTAGTTTACATTGGACCAAGGGCAAAAACAAATAGCTTTTTTGTCCGAGGCTTAGCTTGTTGTATCTGTGTTATTTGTTGAAATATAAACCCAACAATTTTTCAGTTAAAAGCGTTATAAGGATAGGCGTGCGCAGACAGACAGACAAAAATTACGTTTATAGGCAAGATGGTAACATCTGTGAGGAGATAACCCACAATAGGCAACGTTTGTCTTTTGTGAGGGAGCATAGATGGAGGTGTGCTTTATCTACGAGTCGAGTCGTGAACCAGTGTGATCACGTAATGTCGTAACAGGTTCCATTTACATATTTATACTAATCTCTTATTGTATATATTCATCATATTGTTTAATAATTATGAACGAAATTACTCACAAAAGTCTGAAGACACTTTGTATGGGATGTAGACGTTGCCATTCCGGTCCTGGGGCCAGCGGCTGCCATTCTTTGCGGAGACTCTGTCACTGACTCCACACCCAGTGAAAGCACCTAAAGCAGAGCAGCAGAAGAAAGGCTGTGTCTAGCAAGCAGACAAAAACAGGCCACTTCAAAACTGATAGGGGATGCCAGGGATCGCTTCAGTGGGGAGGCATCTATGCTGAGAGATGAGTGGCAGAGAAATGAAGCATTAATTTTACACAGATTACGCACGGCGTATTGAAGTGCCAGCAGCTTCCTATGGCAGGTGTTGACATAACAAGCAATGATTTAGGCCCAGTGATCTCACTGCATCGCACGCTTTCAGATGCGCTTCTGCAGCCATCTGGAACAATCTTCCTTCCAATATTAGGAAGCCACTGGAATTATGCACTTTTAAGTCTAGATTGAAAAGAATTTGGTTTAAACTGCTTTTTGTGTTTATTTTGTTGTCTTTCTCTGGCACCGCCAATAAGTATGGTTGGCTATGTATGGTGCAAAAGCGGTTCAATGTACATTCATCCAATGAATTGTCTCAATTCAGGGTTGCGATTCGATTCAAGAATACCTTCTCGTGTGTAGTTTTTTATTACAATGGTATTTTTTTTCAAATATTTGCAGTTTTTGTTGGATCTATTAGCCTAAATGTAACAGGCATATTATGTAAAATGTAACATTGGCGTATAATTATACATGGATTGTAAATAATCGATTCATACACGCACAATTTGATGCATGTCACTGGAGCATATAAATAGGTTTCAATGAATCATTGTGCAATACATGTAGAGGGTTCCATCATGGCCGAGTGGCAATTTGCACTCTCTGTAAGTGTTAAACATTGTGTAGCAGCATGACCTGCCACTACCCAACAATGTTCAGAAAACAACATACATGGGTATTCGTCTGAATATCATCGCTTAGAACTTTGGTGAAACCTCCAAAAGCTGGCATTTGGAGAAAGGTAGGTTACCCGTGACTAATATTAAAAAAATAAACAAAAAACGATGTCCAGAGCACTGTTTGAATCTTAGTTAAGCTGTGTGCTCTCCCCTGCGGAATTTTGCAGTAAAATTCACACGGATCAGCTTACCATAAAGCTCATGTGTAAGAAATTAAATAAATGCTTGTAAATACTAGTAAGTGTAAGATGCTATCGCCAAACGCAAAGAAATACAATTATTGTGAATTTGTAAAAAAAAAACAAGCCAACAACACATACCTCGCACTTTGTTTTCCTTAATTTCCTTGGGTAGCTGCAATATCAAAAGACAAGGACTGTCATGCACCTACTAGGCCATACACCAACATATATTCACCGTAAGAATGGGCCTTTTGAGATGTAACAAAGATGAAGACTTTTAACAGGTATAACCTCTATTTGAGCAAGGTGAAAGCCCATTGAGACGACAAGTCTTCCTTTCAAGGGAGATCTCGGTTATAAGAGAAAAAGTATTGAAAAAGCGAATTGCACAGTATAAAACAACATAAACACTTATTTTATTAAGTCAAGTTTATTTGTCAGAGTGATTTGGCCATGCAAAACGTATGATAGCAAATCAAAACAGAGGTATAAAACATATGTACACAGCTCAGTTAAATACAAAGTGCAATCAAAACCAGATAGAAAAATCAAAAGTGATTGTACAGCATCTGCCTGCAACTTCATCTCAAGACACAGTACAGAAGATGGAGGCATGTTCATAATGGGGAACAAGGAGGCATATATGTACATATACAGTCAACCCTCTCGATCCGCGAGGGTTACATTCCTGAAAACGCTCGTGAATGCAGAATTAACGAATGCAGAAACCTTGTTCCAATAAGAAAAATTGGGTTACATTCCTGTTACAATTTTTTGAAAGCATCTGTGGACCAATGTGTTATTCCTCTCTGTTCTTCCATAAGGAACATACTTCTAATGCCATCCTTTTCTTTCTACCTTTCATTTATAATTTATTTTGCCACCTCAACAAGTATATATTTATATTTATTTTATCTGCACATCTGTATTTTTAAGAGCACAATCTACTTTTGACAGCTGCTACACACTTTTTCTGCATTTCTCAATCCGTTTTTAATAATTGCACATGGATTTTAGGGGTCCCAGTTAGTATCTATGACTTCCTAAATGTCATTGTCATCTTACCTATAACACAAATATGGTCGCTTCCATAATCTGCTCTAGGATATGTGTTTGACTGAAAAATTGCATTTCAAAACCGTAAATTAATATTTATTAATCAGTCTGGTTCCTACCACGGTCACCTGGGCTCTTCAAAGCCCATAATCTTCTAGGCATTGGCGGAGCCAGTGTGGGGGGAGGTGGGGTGGCACGTTCCCCCCCAATGATCTGATCGAAATCCTTAATTATTAGTAATAAATCTGCATTTTGCGACCCCCACTGCCACTGTGTAGCATATTATTACGTGCCAGGGACTCTATGAGATGACAGGACAATAGTCTGAGTCCATAATTGGCAATAATTAACGGCAAATCAGTTTTAAGTGACTCACAGAATTGTGCGCAGTTGCATATACAGTACACGACTTCCCTGAAGACATACCTTCAGCAAGCGCAATGCCGATCACACACGGTTCGAATTCAACCCTCGATCGATGGCTGCGCCATCGCCACACACGCGTCGAATAAAAAGCAAGGGACAAGTCCTTACTTACAATTCCTATAATTTTTCATGGCTGGAGGCGTTGCCCCCCCTACCTGAAAAACCTGGCTCCGCCATTGCTTCTGGGATGTGCTTAAAACCATATTTTGTCACTAACAACCCATTCTATATCATATTCTCCTCTTTCATTCCTTTCCCAAAATCCATATGGTCAAATTATAATCTATTCTATCTCCTGCGATTCACACTGTTCTTTAGCCTTATCTCCTCATAAAATGCTGTAGATGCATGTTAAGAGTGATTTACATCTGAATATGACAAGCAATACTCAGACAGTGCAAAATAGCTCGACAACCAGCTTGTAGCCTGGTTGTTTCGCAGCATCCAGACTCTTCTCCCATGTAGATTCCATCCAGAATAGATTCATAACTTTCCATTGGTTGTATATTAACCACTAACATACCATCTAACTTCACTCAGTCCTAAAATGTATTTCAAGTCTTGTAATTTCTTGCATTAAAATGTATTTGTTGGTGTACATTTCTTACATTCCAAGTTGCTATGCTTAGAATGTTTTTGTTGTGCTCAGTCACAGGACAATGGTCGAATGTGATCTGCTGCCCATAACAGTCTCTCCCGGACGAGGTGTTATCACTCTGTGAAGCCCCATCTACTCCGTTATGGCCATTAATACTGCTATTTATGGCAATGACTTCCTTGGCAAATGCAGCAGTGGTTTGTCATTGCTTTCTGACGATTTATTTATGGTTACTCCGATAGCCTTTGGTTCACAACCTATCTCCCAAGGTAGAAAGGGGGATTTACCCATTGCCTTCAAAGTACATTACCTTCAGGTTGCCACCATAACCACGTAAGTTAGGCAGGCATCAACTGTTGACATTCATTGTGTACACACTACACTGTAGGCACCACATGAGGCACATAATCAGCCTAGGTTTCAGAATATGTTGCCATACAGGTGTAGTGGTGATACGCGCTGGGGTAAGGATCGTGTGCCAGCGCGTAGTGATTGGCTGTGTGTGTTGGTGACGCGTGCTGACGGTGAAGGATCATGGGTCAGCGCGGGGTCATGGGTTATGAGGCGGTGATTGGCTGGGTATCGGTGACGCGCGCTGACAGCGAGGGGATCGTGAGGCAGCGCGTGGGGATTGGTCAACTAAGGGGGTGTTCACGTCGCGGTCCGCATACGCTCCGTCTCCCGGGAGCGGAGGCTATATAAGGCAGTGCGCACAGGCACACGGGGAGTTGTTGGTGACCAGTGAAGACAGAAGACGGAGGAGGGAGAGATAGGGCCCTGAGGCACCTAATCCCGCTGTCCTTGTAAGGACCGGGGCCCTGTGTGGCTCAGAGGCGGGACCTTGGGACCCGGGGCCGAACGTCCGTGTGAGGGCTGGCCCGCGGGACCCAGAGGTCGTGGCCCACGCCCAAGCTGGGGTGGGTCTGTAGGCTCCACGGACGCTACAGGGCTGGAGTGGCTGTGAGCGTGCACCGTGAGCGTGTAGCGTGAGCGTGCAGCGTGAGCCGTAGTAAACACACGTGTCAAGTGGAATGTGTAGCGTGAGCCGTAGTAAACACACGTGTCAAGTGGAATGTGTAGTGTGAGAAGTAGTGACCACACGTGTCAAGTGGAGTGTGTATTGTGAGAAATAGTGACCACACGTGTTATCGTGAGAAGACAAGATTTAATAAAGTGTGCTACCCGTCAAGTGGTTTCCTGCCGTCATTCCGAATACTTCAACTGGCGTCAGAAGTGAAACAGTCTTCCAGGCATGGATACAAGGAAGACTCGTCGGACTCACGGGATTGACCGCGAGGATAACCTCGACGACTCGGGCCAGCTGGCATCAGGGGGAGAGGAACGAGGAGATGCCGACGCCGCAGGACCCACCGGGGGCGCCGGACGAGGGGCTGGGGGCTGATGCCGGACTCCGCGAGGCGCACTCCCGTCTGGCAGAGCTGCTACTCGCCGCGGCGTCCATCCTGGCGGAGATCACCACGTCGGGAGGAGCGGGGACGTCGGCGGACATTCAACAGGCTCGCCTCGCAGATTCCCGCCAAAATGACTTGGCAGTTCCCGCCATTTCAACCACGCGGACATCTTTTGGCGGGAACGGCGAGCAACACGTGGCGGGAGTTCTCCAAGCGCGCCCGCTTACGTCATCAGCGCGCGCTACGGACCGCCATCAGCCACCCGCCATAGGGGCCGCCATCTTGCAGACCGACGGTGCGGCGGAGAGGAACCACGTGGCAGAGGACGACTTCATCTTCCAGCAGCGCCTTCCCACGTTGACAGCCTTCAAGGCGGAAGGCGGGGACTGGGGCGCATTCCAACGCAGGTTTCTGGCGCATCAAGAAATGTCGGCCTGGTCTGACGCTACGGCGCTGCGGGCACTGCCTGCCATGTTGGACGACGACGCGCTCGCGGCCTTCAGGTCCGCACAGAGGTCGGACCGCTCCACGCTTAAGTCTGCGTTGGGCCTCATGGCCAAGGTCTATGGACCTCCTTCGGCTTGTCGCCATCAGTTTTACGACCGACGGAAGGCGGACACGGAGACCGCGCTCGCCTACCGCACGGCGTTGTTGGCTCTCGCCGACGCCGCGTTCCCTCGTATGGACGAGGAGGGCCAGGATGCGATGGTCTTGGAGCAACTGCTCAAGTTGGCGCAGGACCTGGGGGTCCCCATCAACACGGCCGACGAAGTCGACATATCTTCATTGCGGGTCGCAACAAGTATACAGGCGTACGAGGTCCTCAAGCGTAAACAGGGGGTCGTCTGCACTGCTGCCATGGCCTCAGCTCCGGGCCCGGTGGTCACCGAGCCCCAAGTCGTCTGCCCACGGGAGGAGGCGTTCACCGCTGGACGACCGGGGGACTGGAGGTCGGGGGGTCGTTCGCCTCTGCGATCGGCCCGCAAGCTGGAGCAACCGAGACCTCCGACGTCCCTCATCACGTGTTACAACTGCGGCCTCCGGGGCCACGTGGCGTCCGGTTGCCGCGCTCCACGTCAGCGCGCCATGGGACCTCGGCTGGACGACGACCAAGGCCCCAAGTCATCCCTACTACCCCCGGCAAGTCGCGGCACTTCACATGCTCGGCCTACATGCAAGACACACATGGGCCGTCGCTTTGCGGCGGAGGAGGGCCGATTAGGGGTCGGGGATTCGGTTCGGGGAGGGGGGTTCGTGCGGGACCGAGGGGACATTAAATGGTCTGAGTTGGGTCACAGAATAGTGGCTGCGTCGGCGGGTTCATCGGTCGTTACGGGATTCATAGACGGGGTCGAGGTCAGGGTGTTAGTGGACACGGGGGCGTCGCCGACTATTATATCAGACTTCATTTACAACATTCTCCCCGTCCAATGTCGACCTCTGCTTCCGGTGGACGTGCCATTTTACGCGGCAAATGGGGGCTCGTTGGGCATTGTCGGGCAGATTCGGGCGTCCATTTGCATTGGGGATATTAAATTGTCGGGACCTGTTTTCGTTTCCTCTTCCTTAGCAGTTCCTTGTCTGTTGGGCACAGATTTTTTGGCTAAAATGCCCATTAAAATTCTCATCCATCAACGTTGCATTGAGCTACCATCGGGTTGCCGTATTTCTTTTTTGTCG